TTGGCCTACAGAAGTGAATATGGAAGCTTACACATGGATGTGAACTTCCAGTCCAGTGAATGGTCACCTACTCTGCAGAAGCAGGTTTGTAACAGGAGAGAAGGGAAAACCCTGAATTAGCTAATTTTGACTTGACATTTCCCTGGCCCTGCTTATCTTTGACGCCCAAAGATTGAAGCAGCTCTCATGCTACCTTTTCATGCAACCTGAGCACTGCACAGCCTGAACATGGCCAGATACAATGGGCAGAACTCTGTCACCAGAAAAGCAATTCTAAGAGAGGGCTGAGAGAGCCCACATGAACACAGTAGTAGTGTTTCCCTCCAATCACTGCAGTGCATTTCTGCCTCCAACACTGCCCATATCTAGTTGTGATGACTGTGAACTATACAACTGAAAACTCCCAGTTTTAAACCAGCCAAAAGGGAGTTATTTAAAAATAAATGAGAATTGCAATCCAGGACAAACAAGCTGCAGCAAAACCATAGCCAAATTTGAAGATCAAAAGGCAGGTATGCTTTTTTTTTTTTTTTCAGGAGAAAAAGGAAAGCTGGGAAGGCTGTTATAAACTGGAGTTCATTGGAGTAACCTCAGAGTTAGAAGTGTGGCAGCTTCTCATTTGCAGAGCTCTTGTGAGGAGAAAGGGTGGGGGGTTGTGGTGACAAGGAGAGCCCTTCTTCCTGCAGCTGGGATAGTAAAGTACCACAAGGACCAATCCCTGCAAGGTCAAATCCAGCTCTTCCTGGTGGGTCTGTGTGGAATGGTTGAGGGTGGCCCCTGCTGAAAACTCCTCATTCCGTATCAGTGATACACATTATTCTCTATTGACAAAGACATTTCAAGAATGGAACTGGAGAGTATTATGCTGAGTGAAATAAGTCAATCGGAGAAGGACAAACATATGGTTTCACTCATACGGGGAATATAAAAAATAGTGAAAGGGATTATAGAGGAAAGGAGAGAAAATGAGTGGTAAAAATCAGAGAGGATGACAGAACATCCTAACTGAGAGACTCCTACCTCTGGGAAACGAACAAGGGGTGATGGAAGGGGAAGTGGGCAGGGGGGTTGGGGTGACTGGGTGACAGGCACTGAGGGGGGCACTTGACAGAATGAGCACTGGGTGTTATACTATATGTTGGTAAATCGAACTCCAATAAGAAATATATATATATATATATATATGTATATATATATATATATATATATATATAAAGAATGGTGATTTATATTGTTCTTTGAAATTTCCTGAAGAACATCAGCCAAGACATCAGTACTTTCTAAGTTAAACCTCTGGGAGAGATGTATGCAATTACTTTCTCAAATGGCAGATTGAAGCTGGACTTGACTAGGTTGGAGCCCAAATGTCCAGACCAACATGGCCCCCGAGGACTGAGGATAATACAGTTATGAAAGTAATAGGGGACATTGATTACGTGCTCACTGCATGCTCCATGGCTTGTGTGTCTTAAATACCTCCCACACACACCATCTACTTTCATCGTCATATCAGATAGTCACTGCCATTATTCCCCTATTTTACACAATCTGAGGCACTAAGTACTGAGGCAGGAAGGTGTTAATTAGTTCATGGTCCCACGTGTAAGTGTCTATAGAGGAGCAAGGTACTAGACTCCTGTCACTGGGCAGCACACTCATCCCCAGGCTTCTGGAAGTATTCATTCTTAGCTCATAGCTGCTTTACTCTCTGGAGAATCACCCTTGGCCAAACTGAATCCACTTCACCTAGGAGTTGGTGCCTCCTGGGGGTGGGAATGCAGTCACTGATGGGGTACAAAATGACAGCCCCTGCCTCAAAGTGATATTGATTCTGTAATACATTTCTGCCTCCAAAGCTCCCCATGAGATCAGGCTCCCCTGACCACAGCTTTGCTCAGCTTGTTGTCCCGCTCTACTCAGCTCGCCTCAATCCTTTCTCCTGAGAGCACTGTCTCAGGATACCATTTGCTTCAGAATCCCCAACTCTGGCTCTGCCTTTAGGGACCCAGCCTGGAAAACGACAAAGCCCAAGCTAGTATGTGCACAGTGGCATTCAACTAAGGGGCATAAAGGTGCTGAAAAGCAGCCCAAGTCCTGCAGGCCAAGCTATGCAAAGGGGGCACCTTTTCCTCATTTACCCAAAGCCACTGAAATGTCTAGAACTGAGCTAGGATTCAAACCCTAGGAACTCCAGCCTCAGAGCTCCCCATCTCTCATCACTGTGTGGTACTGCCTCATTGTATTTAACAATACAAGTCAGACTATGGGGATGAGCAACGTAGGCCCAAGTTGCTTTTGTGACCTACTTCTCCCCCCAAAAATCACAATCTTCCAGAAGAGTCTGTTCCAGGAACTTTGTTCCTGACCCATCTCAGAGTAAAATACCGACCTGATATTTCATAATCCCCTGCAATTCCTCCAAAGAGATTCTCCATCAATGTCAGGAAAGGGAGGCTAACACATTACTGCCATGTAACCATCAGAGCTCTCAATTTCCCCAACTGTCCCACAATGTCCTTATTATAGAAGAACCCTGCTTACAGACTGAGGTACATGTCCCCCTCTGTTGTCTCTTTACTTCAATCTGGAACACTTCCTTAGTCTATCTCTAGCTTTTGGTTAAAAAAAAATCCAGCAGGACAAGTTGAAGATCTAATCGGCCTTATTAAGTGATTCATGAATTGGCACATCCTACCTGGCGAGTAGACAGATACTCCCAGGAGGTGTACAAAATGCAGGGTTTTATAGGAAGGAGGGTGGGGCAAGAAGTGCATAGAAGGAAAAGAAAGGATTAAGGCCAGGATCCCTTCTTTCTGGGGGGTGGACCTACAGGGTTTCTATCCTGTAGATGACTGACTACTGCCCATCAAGAAGTTTCAGGAGGACTCTTAAAAGTTCACCTTCCTGGGACAGGTGAAAATGTCATTAGTTATGATTGCTATGAGGTGGGGTTGGTGGGAAAGTGAATCTGTTCGGGCTTGTTTTTTTCTTTTTTGTTGCTTTCAGGACCTTTACTTTGTAGAAGATTACACACCAGTTACAGATTAGGAGTAGATATTCCTCAGCTTGGGTTTGTCTGATCTTTTTGGGAACTACTTTTGTTGTGCCCAAGATTAGGTGCCTGAGAAACCACCAAGGAGCCGACACCAATGCAAACACAAGAGGGTTTATTTACAAGCTTGAGCTTGGGTCCAAGTATACCTGACACAGCGGAGCAGGGACTTGGACCCCGAGATGGGTTCCAGCTTAGTTTTATGGGCTGGTCTAGGGGACCTCCAGAAGGGGTGGGGGAATTTCTCAAGTTCTGTTTACATTCTGATATGGGGCTTTCAAAGGCATTAAGCTCTGTTCTCATTCTGATATGAGACTTTCTGCCATTGGCTTGAGCTCTGTTCTGATTCTAATATGGGGCTTAACTGAAGTAAGGTAAAGTTCAGCTCTTATTCACAGGGGCCTGAGACGGCTGTACTTGTGCTAATGCTGAACTTAGGATGGAATGGCCTTAATTTTCTCAGCCTCCACACTTTCAGGTTTCTCTTGTTGGCAAGAATATCCCAGAGGTGATGCTATGTTCTTCTCATCACATCCTATTGGGTGATGTGCCACCACATCCTCCTGTTCCTTTTTGTTTTGTTTTGTTTTTTCACCATTAATATAACTTTATTTTTTCTTTTTTAGAATCTATTTTTTGGTATATTTTTTATTGGAGTTTGATTTTTCCAACATATAGTATAATACCCAGTGCTCATCCCGCCAAGTGCTCTCCTCAGAACCCGTCACCCAGTCACCCCAAACCCCCGCCTCGCCCACCTCCCCAGCTGAGGCTGGAATAGAAAGACAAAGCATGTTTCCCACCTACCAGAACACAGGGTAGAGAGATGAAAATGTTAGCTCAAAACTAACAATATAATACTAAGTGCCTCAACTGAGTATTATAAAAAAATATGTTGTGGAGGCTGAGTAAATTAAGGCCATTTCGCCTCAAGTTTAGCATTAGCACAAGTACAGCCATTTTAGGCCCCTGTGAATAAGAGCTGAACTTTACAGGAAAAACTGCAGAATGCCCTCGGCAGGAAATCCCATATCAGAAAGACAACAGAGCTCAAAATGCCCTTGGCAGAGAATCCCATATCAGATCTTAAGAAACTCCTCTACCCTGTCCCCCATATTGGAATGGAAAAAATTCCTCCACCCCTTCTGAAAATCCCCTAGACCAGCCCATAAAAAACCCAGCTGTAACCCACTTTGGGGTCTAAGCCCCTGCTCTGCTGTGTGGAGTATATTTGGACCCAAGCTGGAGCTTGTAAATAAACCCTCATGTACTTGCATCGGTGTCAGCTCCTTGGTGGTTTCTCAGAACATAATCTTGGGCACAACAATGTGCTCCAAAAACCTGTAGAATTAAACTATTAATAAACTTTCTGAGCAATGGGGACATCTGGGTGGCTCAGTGGTTGAGCATCTGCCTTCGATTCAGGACATGATCCCGGATTCCTGGGATCGAGTCCCACATCAGGCTCCTTGCATGGAGCCTGCTTCTCCTCCCTCTGCATGTGTCTCTGCCTCTCTTCCTGTGTCTCTCATGAATAAATAAATAAATAAATTCTTTAAAAAGAAAACTTTCTGAGCAATGGGCAAAGTCACAGTAGATTAACTCATCTATCTAACATATCACATCACTTGTTCTGAACAAGCTCCATCCACTCAATGACTGTGATGTTCAAAATATTCAGTCACTGGCTCTCACTCATCAGTTCTGTGTATTCCCCCTTAATGTGCATGAAGCCATTAGTTAATACATTTGTAAAGAGACGTTGATTGACTCACTCAGAGTAATATTTAATGTAAAATGTTCAAAATAAGACATTTTATATAAACATCATTACCACAGTCACCACAATAATTCTTGTTTTTGGGCAGCTTGCGTGGCTCAGCGGTTTAGCGCCACCTTCAGCCCAGGGTGTGATCCTGGAGACCTGGGATCGAGTCCCACGTCGGGCTCCCTGCGTGGAGCCTGTTTCTCCCTCTGCCTGTATCTCTGCCTGTATCTCTCTCTTTCTGTGTCTCTCATGAATAAATAAATAAAATCTTTAAGATAATAATAATAATAATAATCCTTGTTTCTATTAAAGTTCGTTGACAAAATTGTTGAGAAATTTTTATTCTTGATCAGTTCTCAGGGGAGTAGATGGTACAAACAGGGGGTAGTCTGTGTGAACCGGATAGGCTGAGTCTACATGTCTGACACTTAATTAGTCACTTTTTTACACAATATATAATGCTTGACATAGACATCGGAGAAAGCTAAATGAATGTATGGAATTCCCAGTCATCCATCACAGGCTGTACGTGAAGCCCATCTTCATTTTTGGGTTTTACTCATAAAGAAAATTGAGGTCTCTGGTATTTTGGGATCCAGCTTCTTAAAGAACAAAGGGGAAGTCCTTAGGAAAGTCAGGCTCCACTTACACTCCCATCTCTTGGCTCAACCTTGAGAACAACGGGTTTTTCAGGTTGAATAATCCCTTGAGTATTTATTCTCAGGGAGATCTGCAACAGTTAAACAAGTATATGAGAAACAATCAATGAAAATCCTGCTAACAACAGAAGCAAAGCGGGCAAGATATATGAAGGACAAAAATGCATTACAAATATATAAATACTACTTTTAGATTCATATATCTCTCATATGTTGAAATTATTCTGTAAGGTGTCAAGACAGGAGCATGTAAGCATTCACCCATCACTCATTCAACAAATATATCTTTTGAGCACCTACTCTGTACCAGGCTCTAGACCCTTGATGGTTTGTGTTCTTTTTTGATCTAAATTTTAAGTAAAAAGGATAAGTGTTTAAAATTTAAGAGATTTTCAGCCATTACGGCAAACAATTTTGAAAAGTGACAGTTTATTTTGTATATGTTGAAACTTGCAAGGTCATCCTGAGTGTTTATTACACATTTTATTGTCTGGACATCTACAATGCTAACCATCCTGTATTCTCTCCCATGGAAACATCCATTTATGATGACAGACTGGGATGGAAAGGGAACACAGCCTGACTGGAGCCAGTCTACAGAAGATGGAGCCAAGTAGCCAGGATGGCCTGGACTGCAGGCCTCCTTCATATCTGCCAGACATGCTTCACACCAGTGATTCTCAACCTTGCTTGCACGTGAGAATCAAAGGGGGCACATTTAAAGCCACACTCAGGGGGGCACTTGACGGGATGAGCCCTGGGTGATATGCTATATGTTGGCAAATTGAACTCCAATTAAAAAAAAAAGCCACACTCTGGGTGAATTATGTTAGAATATCTGAGATGATCTGGGCATCAGTATTTTTTAATGAACCCACTGATTTCAATGTACAGCAAGGATTTGAGAACCTTAGTCACCAGAGCATCTGTAAATTGTGATGGAGAAAAGCATCTTTCAAAAGGCATGTCATGGTTATCACTGCATATCATGATTATGCATAACATGTTCCCTTTCTTTCAGCGGACTTGAAAGAAATTTAAAACATTGCTTAAGATCAAAGGTCTGCACATAATCATGTCATGCAAAATGCACTGACAGATGACCCTTTTAGTTGGGTGATCATAAACCATAGATATGGCACCCAAGAGCTGAAGGACCCTTAAAAGTCACAATAACTCTAAATAGATTCTCTGGTGATAGAAGGAATTATTAGGGATAAATGAGCCCATTCCCAAATATACACATACATACATCTATCCTACATCTCTTAGTTTAAAAAAAAACAAGAATAAAACACTATTTATGCAGAAAGTTATCTCTCTGACCTGTGTTTCTTTACAAGATTTGAAGGAGAAGTTCTGCAGGACCCTGATAAGGGCAAGTTTCATGTTCATTATTGCAAACCTCATTCCAATGCAGTTTCGGGGTCCAGTTCCAAAAGGCAGGTATGTATAAGGATTTATGCTGTCCTTGTTCTTCCTACTGAACCTGGCTCCACAATGGAAGTGGAAAACAAGTTAGTTAATCATAAAAATCACAAGAGGTACCTGTTTGGGGTTCTCAACCAGGAGTATATTGGAAATTTGATAGGCTGGTTCCTTTAATCCTGCTATGCTTATTCTGCTGTGACAATTGTAAACTACAGGTCATTGGATACTCCTTGCTCTATGAAGCATTCAGTCTTGCTGAGGACATGAGATGAATGCCATTGAAAAGACTTATCTTAGACACTAGAATTATATTGAGGGTGGTGAGATGTCCACACTTTGAAAGGCAAGCAGGAAATGAGTCTTACTGAAGGAAAGGTAGGTTTGCGCCTCCATTCTCACTTACGTTGGTCACATGCTCATAGAAAAAGGAAATAGAGAAATGCCTCCTATGATTTACCTTGTTATTTTTCCCTTCACATCCCTACACTCCTTGCTAGGACCACTCCCAACCACTTACACAGAACAAATTTTCAGATGAGTTAATTTGGCACAGGATGCTACTGCATTATAATCATACTCAGGTCTATGTATACTCACTATAACCACTGAGGCTTGTCTATCTGTTCTAAGAGACTATAAATTCCTTGAGGGTTAGACTTACACTTTATTCAAAATTCTTTCTTTAATACTTATATTAAGGAAATATGTGGATTTGGGGAAATGATAATGGCATTTAGTGAGGTATTATTTAAACTCCTTATATCAAAAAATAAACTCCTTATATCATGAAGAACATACTGGAATGTTTATAGATGATATGCCTTCAAGTTATATGGAAATCAGGGCAGCCTGGGTGGCTCAGCAGTTTGGTGCTGCCTTCAGCCCAGGCTGTGACCCTGGAGACCCGGGATCAAGTCCCATGTCGGGCTCCCTGCATGGAGCCTACTTCTCCCTCTGCCTGTGTCTCTGCCTCTCTCTCTCTCTCTCTCTCTGTGTGTGTGTGTGTGTCTCATGAATAAATAAATAAAAAATCTTTTTTAAAAAAAGTAATATGGAAAACAGTCTAGGTATTATAATGGTGTGTGGATGGGGCAGTTGATACGGGTTAGTGGTTGTTTGGCAGGTGGTGGGCACATATAGATTCATTAAAAATATTTCACACACTTGTGTCTATAGAATATATTTGTACCTGTGTCAAAAATTGTCCATAAATGCTTCCCTATCCTCCTGAAACAAATGAAATCCTATTCTACACACCAGTCAGTCAATTGACTTTTGTCCCATTCCTCCCTTCTTTAGGCTAGCCTTACATGCAATTATTGCTGTTTGAGTATCATGTCACATTGCTAATGTCAAAGCAGTAGGTGACTTATTTTCCAAGTAATTTAAAGCATTGAAAGTAATAAAGTTCTGTGTTGTCTGTCTGTTTAGTTGTCACACATCAAGGAGTTGAAACTGGAGTAAGTAAAAAATTTTCACAAAAAAAATTGTCCATAATAGGGGCAACTGGATGGCTCAGTTGGTTAAGTGTCTGATTTTGGCTCAGATAATGATCTCAGGGTCCTCATATCAAGTCCTATGTTGGACTCCCTGCTGAGCAGGGAGTCTGCTTCTCCCGCTCCCTTGGCCCCTCACCCTGCTCATGCTCACTTGCTTCTCACTCTCAAATAAATAAAATATTTTTTAAAAACTTATCCATAATTGGCATTTTTAATACATGGATTCACTGCCTGGCACAGTCCCTAACACACATAGATAATAAGTACTTCCTCTCATGGCTGAATGAATCATGAAGAAGTACCAGGAGTGGTCTCTGGTTTCTGTTCAAGAAGCTACAGAAGATTGAACAGCTGAGCTTGTGGGAGTCATCAGGTCTCCTGGTCCAGAAAACAGATGACTGGTCAATTCTAAGTTCTTTCAGCAAGTACTATGTGTAGACGCATTGCTAGCACTAGGGACACTATGCAACCAGACAAGGGCTCTGCCAACGGGGACTTTGAGTCAAGGCTAAACATCTAGGTCTCTAAAAACTCATCCAAATTTTGCCCACCAATACAATAAACAGGAAAGCATGGACTTTTGCAGAATTCAGGCTTACCCAAAGCCAGACTCTGCTCTGAATTCCCAGAAGAGAAAGCTCAAGACCCCTCCAAGGAGGATGTCTAAATGGCTAGAGAACAGATGACCTCACTTTGGATAAATCCTAGATACTAGAGAGATGAGAGATGCTTAGAACTGCAACCACAGACAGCACAGGACCTATCAGGTCTCCAGCACACTCTGTCCTCAGGCTGCTGCTCCTCCTGCCAGGGATGTGAACTCTCAGCACCACAGCCTCTGTCCTCACACTATACCTAGCAGACATGGTGGCGCAGGGTTACACACACAGAATGCGAAAATCTAAGGAGTAAATCCAGAGAGCTAAAGAGGACAGAAACAAACACTAAAGTAACAAAAAGTCCCATTTTCTTAATTAAGATAATGGTTAAGTATTTTATGTATACACATAGAATCACAAACACAAATATGGTACGTTGTTTATACTTTACTGTTACATTAACTCAGTACCTCAAAAATATATAATGCCATCTTAACTTTTAAGCTTCTATATATGCATAGAAAAATATCCACAAGGACATACATCACATGATTAATAATCCTGATATATTGTGACTGGTGATGATGTTAATTTTCTTTATTCTCAACTAGAGTTTGTAAAATGTGGACAATAATGTTCATTTTGTAACAAGAAAAATACTTCTAAGAATAAAAAAATGTACAAATAAATCATTGTACCACCACACGATTGTCATCTATACTAAGAAGATACAGAATATCCTCCAATGTGAGGGTGGGTTCCCCTTTGCAGGGTTCCCTGTACCTTTCAGGTTGGAATTCCTCAGGCTCTGGCCAGAGATTCTGGTCTTGATGAAGAATAAAGGTTGGCACCATCACCACTGTCCCTTTGGGAATGAACACACCACTGATTTCCACATCTTTCTTACAGACCCTCTCAAGTCTACCAGCGACTGAGTATAATCGGAGAGTTTCATTCAACACCATGTCCAGATACTCCATCTGTACAAGGGCCTCATAAGTGGGTGCTGCCTGGAAGGAAGAAACAGATTTAGATAAATGGAGATTTGGATCAATGCTCAAAGCACTCTATGTACTACTACTGAAGTGTTAGAACACCTAAGAATCACTTATTTTGATAAGGGTATTTATAGACATTTGAATGTCTACCATGTCCTTTGATCTACTCAATGGCCCACTGACATGTGAGCAATAGCTGTGAGCAATAGCTGTGAGCAATAGTAATGACTAGGGGAGACCACTGTGACAATCCCCTACACAGGACCTGAAATCCTTCCCATTACCAGATAGTGGTTTTTCTTCCTCATATGAACAAAAGTGACTAATAGAGTGTGACGCTTGATCTTTTTAAAATTTTTTGTTTAAATTCATTTAATTAACATATAGTGTATATTAGTTTCAGGGATAAAATTTAGTGATTCCTCAGTTGCTTATAATACCCAGTGTTCATTACATTTAGTGCTCCTTATGTCCACCACCTGGTTACTTCATCCCCTCAACCCCTCACTTCTAGCAACCCTCAATTTGTTTCCTATACTTAAGACTCTCTTATGGTTTGTCTCCCTCTCTGTTTTTGTCTTATTTACCCTTGCCTATGACCCTTAATTTAAGTGAAATATGTTGAAGTGACTGATTCCTTTCAAAACAGGGGCCACATATCTGCACCATGAAAGGAGAACATGCAACAGAAAATATCCCCTCTTCTACATAAACTCTTCTAGTTGAAAAATTCTGTTGGGGCAGCCTGGGTGGCTTAGTGGTTTAGTGCTGCCTTTGGCCCAGGGCGTGATCCTGGAGACCCGGGATCAAGTCCCAAGTCAGGCTCTCTGCATGGAGCCTACTTCTCCCTCTGCCTCTCTCTCTCTCTCTCTCTCTCAGTGTATCTCATGAATAAATAAATAAATAATCTTAAAAAGAATACTCCATATGAAATATTCTGCTTCCTAGCTTTTCAATTATATATACAATATTTGGAGAGGAACATTATATTGAAAAAGTATAATTTGGGGAGACACTAGTTCGTCTCAAACCAAATAGGGCAAGAGAAGGCTACAATTGGATGCTACCAATTCTAGACATAAATTTCAGTTTTAGGAAAAGTAATAAGGGGATCAGAACCCTACTCTCAACCCCACCCTCTGTTGTTGGAACAGTCTCCTAGTTGTCACTTTGGAGTTTCACTGTTTGCCATATAGGTCACTCCAGACCCAGAGGTCAGGTGTCTTCATAAACAGGGAACTCCAGGTTGGGCAGAGATCTGAAAACAATGAGGGAAATTATCTGTCTATCACTTGGTGTTATATTTAAGAGCCAACATTTTACAGATTGTAGCTCAGTTTCCTGACTTGTTAAATGGAGATAATACAGTTGATACTTCATAGGGTATGTGGTAGAGAAACTCACTGCTCATCCAGGATCCATGCAGATCCCCATATTTCCCAGCTCTCATGAATTTACGGGAAACCATTTTGCAAATGGGGAATGAACTGATGAGACAAATGTCAGTTCAGGGCCAAACATTTGAAAATCAAGTGAGCAACACATAGCTCCTTGTTACCCAGCAAACAGTAAGTCCCCAGGTTCTAGATAATGCAGGTATAATAAAATGGAGCCTCTTTACCTGGTATCGCCAATAACTGTCTGGAGCAGAGACTCACTCCAATCTTCTGCTAAGGCCCATATCTGACACGCAAATGTGGAAATAGGAGTAATCCCTTTTATGAAAACTTACTAGGTTTGAGGGCTCATCTATTACTGAGACATAACCAAGCCTACACTGACTCCCTTCTTCAGGTATGACCCACTTACCTTATTGGGGAAAGTTGCATCAATCTCCTCCTGCAGTTTCTGCTGGACATCAGGGTGAGTGGCCAATTCATACATAAGAAAGGAAAGACAACTGCTAGTGGTCTCATAGCCAGCAAAAATAAAGATAATAGATTGGGCCACCAGCTCCAAATCAGAGCTAAAAGGAGAAGAAACACATTTTAGCTATAACAGGTGAATGTAAAAAACCACACTTTAGATAATGAGAAATCTATTCGAAACTCCCATTTCCCTTGGGGAAAATGTAAAAGCAATTCAGAATCAAACTCAGAGTGGTTTGCACTCTGATGTCTATCTTACAGAGCCAGAAAAGCCAGAAGTTATCTTGATCTGGTTCTTCCTATGGTCTATACTATTCTTGGCCATCTGCTCCTGCTAATGCCACCCTCTGCACCAACACAGATAGGTAATTTCAGGAGATGGCATTTCTGTCTAACGTACATGGTGTTATCAGCATGACCTTTGGAGGATCCTAAAAGTACTTCAGTCGTAAGTAACATGGGATACCATTCTCCCCCAAGAAAGTTTATATTCTTCTAGCTAAAAGAGAACTTAAATTTCCTTAGAGAGTTTGTGATACCAAGACTCAATTGTCAGGAAAAAAATGAATGATCTTTCATCTAAACGTATTTGTGGAAAGTGAAGAGAACAATATTGGGCTACTGATAAATTCTTGTTGCTCAAAGAGAGATCCATGGACCATCAGCATCTGCAGCATCTGGGAGTTTATTAGAAATGCAGAATCTCAAACCTCACCCTAGAACTATCAAATCAAAGTCTGAGCTTTCATGAGATGTGGTGATTTGTGTGAACAACCTAGCTTGAGAAGCATGGATTATACCTTTCAGAGGTCTCAGCTAGTAGAAGACCTGGCACACAACTTCGCAAGTGCATGATCTCCAATATGTACAGAAACTACAACACAGATGTGGTATATATATACCACATCTTCTTTATTCATTCATTTGTTCATGCAGGTGGGGGGATGTGGTGACTGGGTGATGGGCACTGAGGAGGGCACTTGAAGGGATGAGCATTGGGGGTTATAATATATGTTGGCAAACTGAAATATACAAAAAAAAAAAGACTGGTGATGGAGCTGGCTTAATTAATGCCACCAAAGAAGCAGAAGAAAAAAATGTATCAAAGGCAATGTACTGACCAGCATGAAATATAGACGAATTGAATCCAGTGAATGGAATTAGCAATCATGGCCTGAATTTCACCTTCCTTAGTGAATGGCCCCACTCTGAATATAAATTAAATATCTTTTGATTTGCTCCTGGCAGAAACTCAGCAAGGTCATGTCCTAATCTATTTGACAAAACCTGTGTTAGGACCTTTAGATGCTGAGAGCACCTACCCACTACAAACCCATAATTCACAGCTAAAAACATGCAAAAAGTGCTAGAAAAGTCTACAAAGTTCCGATATCCCAGTCACACTTTTTGTGAAGCTGCTATGGGTAAATTCAACGATCAAATTCTTGCCTTTCACCCAGTCACTCCATCCCCCCGCCCTCCTCCCCTTCCACTACCCCTTGTTCGTTTCCCAGAGTTAGGAGTCTCTCATGTTCTGTCACCCTCTCTGATTTTTCCCACTCATTTTCTCTCCTTTCCCCTTTATTCCCTTTCACTATTTTTTATATCCCCATGTAGTGAAACCATATAATGTTAGTCCTTCAATTGACTTACTTCACTCAGTATAATACCCTCCAGTTCCACCCACATTGAAGCAAATGGTGGATATTCGTCCTTTCTAATGACTGAGTAATATTCCATTGTGTGTGTGTATGTGCGTGTGTGTGTGTGTGTGTATATATATATATACACATTTTCCATTAATCTTTAAATGGACACCGAGGCTCCTTCCACAGTTTGGCTATTGTGGACATTTTTGCTATAAACATTGGCACTTGACGGGATGAGCACTGGGTGTTATACTATATGTTGGCAAATAGAACCCCAATAAAAAATATACAAAAAAATTCTTTTTTTTATAAATTAATTTTTATTGGTGTTCAATTTACCAACATACAGAATAACACCCAGTGCTCATCCCGTCAAGTGTCCCCCTCAGTGCCCGTCACCCATTCACCCCCACCCCCCGCCCTCCTCACCCTCCACCACCCCTAGTTCATTTCCCAGAGTTAGAAGTCTTTATGTTCTGTCTCCCTTTCTGATATTTCTCACACATTTCTTCTCCCTTCCCTTATATTCCCTTTCACTATTATTCATATTCCCCAAATGAATGAGAACATACACTGTTTGTCCTTCTCCGGTTACTGTGGCCAAGTTCAAAAAGGGTGTTGCCTGAGTTCTCCTCTGGGATTTTGATGGAATCTTGTCTCACATTTAGATCTTTCATCTATTTTGAGTTTATCTTTGTGTATGGTGCAAGAGAGTGGTCCAGTTTCATTCTTCTGCATGTGGATGTCCAATTTTCCCAGCACCATTTATTGAAGAGACTGTCTTTCTTCCAGTGGATCGTCTTTCCTCCTTTATCGTATATTAGTTGACCATAAAGTTCAGGGTCCACTTCTGGGTTCTCTATTCTGTTCCATTGATCTATGTGTCTGTTTTTGTGCCAGTACCACACTGTCTTGATGAACACAGCTTTGTAGTACAACCTGAAATCTGGCATTGTGATGCCCCCAGATACGGTTTTCTTTTTTAAAATTCCCCTGGCTGTTTGGGGTTTTTTCTGATTCCACACAAATCTTAAAATAATTTGTTCTAAGTCTCTGAAGAAAGTCCATGGTATTTTGATAGGGATTGCATTATACGTGTAAATTGCCCTGGGTAACATTGACATTTTCACAATATTAATTCTGCCAATCCATGAGCATGGAATATTTTTCCATCTCTTTGTGTCTTCCTCAATTTCTTTCAGAAGTGTTCTATAGTTTTTAGAGTATATTTTGAGAACCATTTGAATGGTAAATGGTTCTCTAACCTTTTATTTTCAGGTTGTAGGTGTCCTTCTGTCTAAAATGAGTCTCTTGTAGACAGCAAATAGATGGGTCCTGCTTTTTTATCCAGTCTGAAACCCTGCGCCTTTTGATGGGGTCATTAAGCCCATTCACGTTCAGAGTTACTATTGACAGATATGAGTTTAGTGTCATCATGATATCTATTTAGTCCTTGTTTTTGTGGATTGTTCCACTGAACTTCTTCTTAAAGGGGAGTTTTAAGAGTCCCCCTTAAAATTTCTTGCAGAGCTGGTTTGGAGGTCACATATTCTTTCAGTTCCTGCCTGTCTTGGAAGCTCTTTATCTCTCCTTCCATTTTGAATGAGAGCCTTGCTGGATAAAGTATTCTTGGTTGCATGTTCTTCTCATTTAGGACCCTGAATATATCCTGCCAGCCCTTTCTGGCCTGCCAGGTCTCTGTGGAGAGGTCTGCTGTTACCCTAATATTCCTCCCCATGAAAGTCAGGGACTTCTTGTCTCTTGCTGCTTTAAGGATCTTCTCTTTATCTTTGGAATTTGCAAGCTTCACTATTAGATGTCGAGGTGTTGAACGGTTTTTATTGATTTTAGGGGGGGATCTCTCTATTTCCTGGATCTGAATGCCAGTTTCCCTTCCCAGATTGGGAAAGTTTTCAGCTAGGATTTGTTCAAATACATATTCTGGCCCTCTGTCCCTTTCGGCGCCCTCGGGAACCCCAATTAAACGTAGGTTTTTCTTCCTTAGAGTGTCATTTATTTGCCTTAATCTGTCTTCATGGTCCTTTAATTGTTTGTCTCTTTTTTCCTCAGTTTCCCTCTTTGCCATTAACTTGTCTTCTATGTCACTCACTCGTTCTTCCACCTCGTTAACCCTCGTCGTTAGGACTTCTAGTTTGGATTGCATCTCATTCAATTGATTTTTAATTTCTGCCTGATTGGATCTAAATTCTGCAGTCATGAAGTCTCGTGAGTCCTTAATGCTTTTTTCTAGAGCCACCAGTAGCTGTAGAATAGTGCTTCTGAATTGGCTTTCTGACATTGAAGTGTAATCCAGATTTTGTAACTCTGTGGGAGAGAGGGCTGTTTCTGATTCTTTCTTTTGAGGTGAGGTTTTCCTTCTAGTCATTTTGCTCAGTGCAGAGTGGCCAAAAACAAGTTGTATTGGAACACGGGGGAGTATCACTGGTCCGTCCAGCTGGTCTTCTGGGGGAGGGGCCTGCTGTGCTGGTTTTCAGGTGTTAGCACTTGGGGGAGCTGCTCTGCCCCTGCCTGCTGCAGGGCTCAGCGGGGGTTGTTTACCCCGTGGGGCCCCAGGAGGATCAGCCGCAGTTGCTATGGCAACTCTGGAAGCCTGGATTCAGCCTCCGCAGGAACTACGGGGCTCGGGGCTCTCGGTTCTCCGTCTGCAGGGCCTGGAGGCTCCGGGGCGGGGCCGCTGATCTGCTCAGCTCGGGGCAGGAGCGTCCTCGCTGTCCTGGGCCCTCCCGGCCTCTGCCTGTCCCAGGGGGAGGCGGGATCCTGGGCTGTGTCCCGGCGCCCTGTGCTCCGGGGCCTGCGCTGTTGGATTCGCGCTCCCGCCCTGCAGCTCCCTCCCTGGAGCCGCTCCCGAGCCCTCCGAGCTGCTCGGTCGCCCCGTGCGCGCTGCAGCCCTTAGGGAGCTCGGAGCACTCTCCTGCGCTCGCAGGTGTCTGTTAGTGTCCCCGGGAGCCCGAGGGCATCCCCGCCCTCCTGGGTCCTGCTCCAACTCCCTGTGAGCCCCTTTCCGCCCGGGAAGGTTGGTGCAGCTCCTGCTCCTCCGGGACGGGGCTCTCCTGTCCTGGGGACACTCGCCCCGGCCTCAGCCCGGCTCCTCGCGGGGCCCCTCCCCCTCGGAGGCCTTTTGTTTCTTTATTTCTTTTTCCCCGTCTTCCTACCTTGATAGAAGCGCGAACTCTGCTCACTGTAGCATTCCAGCTGGTCTCTCTTTACATCTCAGGCCGAATTCGTAGATATTCAGGATGATTTGAAGGTTATCTAGGTAATTTGGTGGGGACAGGTGATTTGGGGACCCTGCTCTTCCGCCATCTTGCCCCTCCCTCTCTACAAAAAAATTCTTGCTCTCCATTACCACAAACCCCATGATAATAAAAGTTCAGGGCTGTACTCTCCAATAAGGTAGCCAGATGCGGCTATTTATATTTAAATTTTAATTAGTTATATTAAATACAATATAAGATTCAGAGCTCAGTGACACTAGCCACATGGTAAGTGCTCAAAAATCACATGTGTGCAGTGTTTCTGTACAGGACCAAGCAAATATAACATATTACCTCCATCAGAGAAAAAAGTAGAACTAGATAGATAGATAGACAGATAGATAGAATACAAGTAGAGATAGATTGGTAGGTAGAGATGGATAAATGGATAGATAGATAGATAGATAGATAGATAGATAGATGATAGATAGATTAATGGTATGATAGAATAAGCCCATCCTTTTCCTCTAGAATCAACTGTTATATATTCAACAATTTTGTGAGCTGGTTGTCAAATCACAGATGGCTTGAAATTAACCATGATGGAAATATTTCTGTCATAGAAACAACTATAAATTAAGTCTGTTTTTTTTTCTTTTAAATACTGAGAGCATACTTACATCATGGGTTATGGATAAAGAAATATTTGTGCTGATCAGTGCTGGGTAGATATATTTGATGTTGTTAGCTTGGCTCACTGAGAGGAAATAGAAGCAAATAACCCCTAGTAGCAACGAGTACTCCTAGATCCCAGATTTGGTTTCTAAATACCATTTTAACTAAAAGGAATCAGAGTTTCTTGGAGAAATGGCTGGTTCAGGGCTCATCAGGGGAAACAGAAGAGAAATCTGAGATGTCTCACATCAGGATGCAAGGTAATGCCCAGAAAATAATATGGGAAAAGGATACAGAATACTCTCTTTTTTTAATGGTGGATATACATCATTATATATATATATATATATAGATAATATAATATATATCAAAACCCATAGCATATACATCAACAAGGATGAACTATAATATAAACTATGGATTTTGGGTGGTAATAATGTGTTGTTGTAGGTATATTGATTATTTAAAAATTACCACATCATGAGGGATTTTGATTGGGGATGCTGTATGTAGGTGGGGCAGGGGAAATATGAGATAAATCTCTATGTCTTTCACTTGATTTTGCAGTGAACCTAAACTGCTATAAAAAATCAAGTCTGGGGCACCTGGGTGGCTCAGCACTTAAGCATCTGCCTTCAGCTTAGCACGTGATCCTGGAGTCCCAGGATGGAGTCCCACATCAGGCTCCCTGCATGGAGCCTGCTTCTCCCTCTGCCTGTGTCTCTGCATATCTCTCTCTCTCTCTCTCTCTCTCTCTCTCTCTCTCTCCTCTGTCTCTCTCTCTCTGGGTCTCATGAATAAATAAATAAAATCTTTTGAAAAACCAAAGTCTATTGAAAACATAAAAAAAGAAGAAAGGAAAAACAAAAACACAGGTGCCCACTTAAAGGGCTTCCAGACAAAAAATCTGAAAGAATCAAGGATCTAAGAAAAAAATGATATAAGACACTTAGTAATATAAGAGATCATACCGACATATATAAAGAAACAAATACAATAATGATGACGTATAGAAAGCTGACCCTAACGATGGACTATTACTCAAAATATAGAAGAAATGGTGCAAGTAAAGAGTCATCATTTTGTAACCATCATAGTAATAATAGTTTTAGTCAAAGACCATCCATGGATGATAAAAGTAGTAGATGATGATTCAAAGAGAAATACAATGTGTACACATACCTGCACCAGTTACTTCTTAATTACAAAAAGGGAAAAAACACTTGAAGTAGATTAAGCTAGTGACTAAAGTATAACCACAAGTGTTTCAAGTTACGGTCATCAACACTGGGGCCATGTACCTCCTTATGTGATGAAGACTTGATGTGAATTTCCAGGCAGATTCGGTGGGTCTGGATTAGGCTGCAGGATTGACATTGGAAACAAGTTCCCCTGTGGCAGACCACAGATTGTTTTGTCTATGGTTCCCCTTCAAGCTTTGAACAGGTAGTATGGCTTGGTTTTTCTGGAAAATGCTCTGTCTACCTTTTGTATCTGAACATATTTCTTTCTTCAATTTGCCAAAATTCCATCTGCTAAAAATCTTCCTCCACACCTTGGAACCACCCCCTGTTTCTGAGCCACCTCATCAATGGCCCTCTGAAGCTCTTCTCGCTTACCTTTATGAGTGTCCATTTCTTTGGAATTCTGGGAGTTAATCATCAGCTGAAGAAAGTCCACTCGGTGCTAGAAACAAAAAGAGAAATTTCCATGGCAAAAAATCACTTGTGAAGTCAGAAGTAAATCAGACGTGAAGTATCCTGAGACTACGACCCATTTACATCCCGAATTTAGACTAGTGTTGCCAGAGTCCTCGGTGAACAAAAATGCTCAGCTATAAATCTTGGAGAGCAGGATGTTTCCCTGACAGGAATCCAGCCATTAAGTCTCATTGCTTTTTGGATCTTGCTCTGTCTGATCCTCAGCTTCTCTGACTTTTGAACATACCTTCCTGGCCCAAGAGTTGCCTGATCCCTCTCCTGTCACATCTACTAGCTAAGGAGAAAGTCCCTGACTTCAGTCCTTCCTTCCAGCCTTAATTCTTAATAGCCACATAGACCAATCCCTGACCTCTGCAGAGTCCATGAGCAGCTTCTGTGTCAGCATCTTCCAATGTTCCACCCTCCCAGAACTCTGCACAATATTCAGTGATATCAGCACTGTCTCCTTGTCCTACACATGTCCTACAGCTGGCCATCAGGCCTCATGAAGGCAAAGCTGGCTTAGCCAGCTTGCAGCTTCAGTGCCCAGAGAAGATTTCTACCTATTCCAGACTATGGCAGGGTCAAATTTAACATAGACTATATACTCCACCAGGTGCCTAATAGGACCTTCCCCTGGAGAAGGTGTAAGATAAGAGGCTTTGAATTGAAGGGATTCTTTGCCAATGTAAGATCTGGCAAAATTACACTACCAGGAAAATGATTTTACACAGTAATTTTTACATTTTGACAATTTATTGAAAGAAAGCGGTAGTTTTTTTCTCACTGAAGTTTATGCAGTGACATACTACTTGCCATGTTTATTAATAAATTTTAAACAAATGGTGGGTATTTGTCGTTTGACAAATGCCCACCATTTGCTTCAACGTGGATGGAACTGGAGGGTATTATGCTGAGTGAAGTAAGTCAATCGGAGAAGGACAAACAGTGTATGTTCTCATTCATTTGGGGAATATAAATAATAGTGAAAGGGAATAGAAGGGAAGGGAGAAGAAATGTGTGGGAAATATCAGAAAGGGAGATAGAACATAAAGACTCCTAACTCTGGGAAACGAACTAGGGGTGGTGGAAGGGGAGGAGGGCGGGGGGTGGGGGTGAGTGGGTGACGGGCACTGAGGGGGGCACTTGACGGGATGAGCACTGGGTGTTATTCTGTATGTTGGTAAATTGAACACCAATAAAAATAAATTTATTATAAAAAAATAATAAATTTTAAACATAGTCCCTCTGACTCATCTTCTTATTTCCTTCCCTGACCTCCACCTTCTTCATTCTCCCTAAAATGTTAGAAGTCTCCTGCTTTAAACCCTACAGTTCTCTACCTACCATAAAAACATATAGAAGTGCAGATATTGGGTATATGCAGCTCAATAAATTATCAAAAAGTGAACACCTGGGGACACCGGGGTGGCACAGTCAGTTGAGTGCCCAACTTTAATTTCCGCTCAGGTCATGACCTTGGAGTCGTAAGATCAAGCCTCATGTTGGACTCCGTACTTGGTGTGGAGTCTGCCAGAGAGTCTCTCTCTCTCATTCCCTCTACCTGTCTTCCTGTTCATCCACATACTCTCTCTTAATTAAATAAAATCTTTTTTTTTAAAGTGAATACCTACATATAACCACCAATAGATTTACCTTTTGTTTATCTTTTAGGCGACTTTCCTTCATTCTCTCTACAGATTTTCTGAAAAAATCAGTAACTTTCTTTGGAAATAGCCAGATATTTAATATTTCAAAAACCGGAGTAAGGAATGGAAACAGTACTGTAAGGAAAAAGAACAATGGAAAGCATAATGAAAATGCAAAATTTACCTGGAGCAATTATACTTTGGTCTACCAATCAGAAGATTAAAAGACACCAGGATAGGCACTTGGGTGACTCAGTAGTTGGGCGTCTGCCTTTGACTCGTGGGATCCTGGTTCAAGTACCATATCAGGCTCCCTGTGCAGAGCCAGATTCTCCCTCTGCCTATGTCTCTGCCTCTCCCTGTATCTCTCATGAATACGTAAAAAAAATCTTTTTTAAAAATAATTTTAAAAATAAAAGAGACCAGGAGTCTGTCCTTCTAGGACTTTTACTTGAACTTTCAAGCCAATGGCTGAGCCAGAGCAAGTCACACATAGAGGCCACCACTAGAGCAGTCAGATCGGTGCCTTCTGGAACATCTTTGGAGTGACCAAAGGAACCCAGGAACAATTTCCTGATCCCTTAGGCTTTTATTTTTGGACTAGAGTCTCTTTGGAAACACCAGACCATAATATGCTATTATAACTAATCATGCTATTTAAGAAATTGTTGCCAGGATGTAAATAATACAGAGTATGCCCTTCAACCACAAAGGAATAAAATTAGAAATCGAGAACACAAACAACATTTGGAAACCCATGAATCTGTAGAAATTACACAATACATTCCTATATAGCCACTGGGCAAAGAAGAAATCAAAAGGGCACTTAAGAATCAATCACTTGGAGATTACAAAAGTGAAGAAATCACGTACCAAAGCTCACAGGATGTAGTAAAAGCAGTGACCACAAGGAAATTTATAGTTATATATGCCTACTTCTAAAAAGAACAAATATTTAAATCAACTACCTTGCTCTCTGTCAAAAACATGCTTAGAAACCAAGAACACACTAAATAAAGCAAGCAGAAGGAAGCACGTAATACAGACAATAGCAGAAACTTATCAAATAGAGAATAAAAAACAAGAGAAAATTCAATGAAAGCAAAGCTGAATCTTTCAAAAAAACTTTAGATAGATAGACGGACCAAGCAAAAAAAGGAGAAGAGATTCAAATTATTATTATTATTATAAGTGAAAGACGAGATTACTGCTGACATTACAAAAATAAAAAGGACATACAGAATACCATGAAAAACTGTAAGCTAAGAAATTACATAACTTAGATGAAATGGAATAATTGCTAGAACAACACAAAGTAGAAGATGACATTTAAAAAAATAACACACAGGCAGGGGCACCGGGCTCACTCAGTTGGTTAAGCATCTGTCTTTGGCTCAGGTCATGATCCCAGGGTTCTGAGATTGAATCTCAATCAGGTTCCCTGCTCAACAAGAGTCTGCTTCTCTTTTTGCCTCAGTCCCTCCCTGCCCCCCATGTTCTCTTTCTCTCTCTCTCAAATATATAACAATAAAATATTTTTTAAAAAAAACCCACATAGGCAATCTGAAAGATGAGTAAAAAGATTGAGTTAATAGTGAAGAAAGGACCAACAAAAAGAAGCTCAGCTCCAGATGGTTTCACAGATGAATTCCAGCAAATATTTAAAGTAGAATCAATGCCAATTTTACACAAATTCTTCCAAAAAACAGAAGAGGTAGGAATACTTCCAACTCAATCTTGAGGCCAGTGTTACCCAATACTAAAACCAGACAAAGATATTGAGGAAGAAGAAAACTACCAACCAATGTACCTTATGACATGTCATCTTATGACATCACAAAATCCTCAACACAATAACTGGCCAAATGAACCCAGCAACATATCCAAAGAAGGATATGCCACAACCAAGAGAGGTTTAACCCCAGCAATGCCAGGTTATACATACAATATAACAATAATTTTTTTAAAAAAAACCACATGGTCATCTCAATACAGGCAAAAGAAAAACTATTTGACAAAAATCCAACACCATTTAGCAATAAAAACACTCAACAAACCGGGAACAGAAAGGAGTATCCTCAACCTGATAAAGGGCATCTACAAAAAACTCATACTTAACACTGCACTTAACAGATATAGACTGGATATTTTCCCCTCAGATTAAGCAAAAACAAGGATGTCTCTATTGCCACTTCTATTCAACATCGTATTAGAAATTTGAGCCAGGAAAAGTAGACAAAAGAAAGAAAGAAAGAAAGAAAGAAAGAAAGAAAGAAAGAAAGAAAGCTATTAATAAAGGAGGTAAAGAAGTAAAAGCATCTCTATTATCAGCAATATAATGTTATACATAGAAAATCCAAAGGAATGCAATAAAAGTCTATTGGAACTAATATTTAGCAGGGTTTCAGGATACAAAATCAACACATGAAATCAATTCTGTTTCATACACTGCAAAAAAATTCCAAAAATGAAATTAGGAATATAAGTCCTTTACAATAACATCAAGAAGAACAGAATGATTAAGAATAGCCGTAACAATGGAAGTGCTTATACTGTGAAAACTACAAATATTGTTGAAATAAAGAAGACCCATGTAAATGGAAAAATATCCAATGATCATGAATTAGAACTTAATATGTCAAAATACATCATACAACAGCAATAACAATAGGTATAATGTTGTATTTAACTGTCCAGTATTTATCTATCTTATAACTGCAAGTTTATAACTTTGGTCACCATCATTCAAGTACCACCCCCAACCCCTGCTTTTGATAGCCACAAATCTGATCTCCTTTTTGTATGACTTTGGTTCTTGTGCTATTTTTCTCAGTGCACACGTAATTGAGGTCAAACAGTATTTGTCTTTCCCTGCCTGACTCTCTTCACTTATTGTAATGTCCTCAGATTCCAACCATGCAGTCCAAATACAGGATTTCCTTCCATTTTTATGACTGAATAAAATTTCATGGTATATACATTTTTTGTCCATTTCTTGGTCAGTGAACACTCACCATAAAAATGGAATTGTATGTTTTTAAAGGGGAACTTATAAGTTATATGAAGTTATATCTCAATAAGATTGTACAACAATAGGAAGTGAGAGAGGAAGGAAGGGAAGAAAAAGGAAAGGGAGGAGAAAAAGGAAAATAATACTGTACATACATATGGAGAAGAACAATGGGTCAAGGAAATCAAATTTTAAGAGCTTCTTGGTATTTTCCACAAACGGATCTTGTGGGTGGTTGAGGGAATCAATGTTCACTCCAAACGATGTGCTGGTAATCACATCCATGCTGTAGGCTCCAAAGACACTGTGAGAGAAATAAAGATGCGAATAATTAAAATCAGTACCTCTTTACTATCGTTATCCAACATCTGCAGCAAGAAGTACATGTAGATTCTAATGTCCAGGCAAGACAAGAGCCACACTTCCACCTGCTGGATCATCTGAAGAGTCTATATCCCATCACATTCACTCATGAGATATTCATGAGTTATCAGTGATTCAGCTCACCTTTTCCTGGGGGTGATGGGGTCTCTAGGGCAAGTTAGATGGACTTCTGAGATCAAGAAGCTTGATCTCAGTCATGGAGATCTAGAGACCCAAAGATGGAGGGCTAGAGATCTAGTCATGGAGGGCTAGAGATACAAAGATGGATAATTTACAGTAGTGTGTTTTGAGCATGGGCAATAGAAGGTAATAATCACAGTATCTGAGCAGGACAAATAATGGAATAATTAACCCTTCCTCAGGGAGTCAAGAAAGTTGAAACTGATCTGGATCCTCTCTTACCACAGTCTCTATGTTCAGAGCTGATTCCTCAATAGTATGTTACAGAACACCAACACCCTGTTCTGTGCTGCCAGGAACACCACCCCTTCTCTATACTCCTGCTAAGTCTCCTGAATGACCCACTCTGTCTCAGCTGCAGTGATCCGAGATTGCCCTGAGGACTCACTCACTTCTGGAAACTAGAAGAACTAGGAATGTTATTACTTTAAAAATACATACTAATTCACACCAAAATTGACCTTAAGAGTTAATATTTAGTATTTTGCTAATATCTGCAACAAAATCAGGAAGGGGTTTAAGTTGTTCCAAATTCCACATGAAAACTTTCCCCACCCAGTGCCCACAATCTGTACCAAGTGCTCTCCACCCCCCGCTCCCACCATTCCATAACTCCTACACTCAAAGATTTGGTACAATCATGTTTCCTTTATTCAAGTATATATTTTTATCTTCCAGGGCATTCAAGGTAACATTATAGCAGATCAATTAATCCTGCCTCATGTGCACAAAAGAAGACCCTCTCCCTCCTGGTTGCTCTGCCTTTTTAGGTGAGCTACCTCTCCTTGGCTGGCCCATTGTTGTAACGCCACAAATCTACTTCAGCTGTGGTAACTAAACAGTGGGAATTGGGTTCTGTGGCAGCAGTTGGAAAGTGTCATGACAGAGTTGGAATCCCAGAAGCTGCACTCCTACTTACTCTTTCAAGTTGATGGCCTTGCCTTTCTCTGCCTCCTTCCTCAGGTTGCTCACCAACACATCTCCATACTGGCCAATGATGGGGAACATCTACACACAAAGTACACCACCTGAAGTTAAATCCAAAACCCGAGTACTAGAATGACATGACTTTCACAAGCATGTAGCTATAAGGGACATTTAATAACAAATTTTATCATATTTCTTCCAGGAGATGAAGATAAAAGACTATTTTTAGGAAGCCCAAATGCAGCAGAGTACCACTTAGAGATGGACTATGATCTTATTTTATATTTATTCCCAGGTGTATTCCTTTACTTCCTAATTAAAAGTCTTCTTCTTTTCTTACCTCCTTGAGCTTTCCAGTGGTGAAGGTTGGAGACAGCAAAGTTCGCATTCTCTTCCACTCTTCATCCTCAGACAGAGAGATCGCACTTTTCATAAATCCTACTGGACCAAGACTCTAGAGTCAAAGCAAAACATTTTGCCCTAAATAAGTTTTAGAAGTCTCAAAGGTTGCGGAAAGTTTGTTAAATGGGAAGAAATTATTAAACAAATCTTTAGTGACCATTGACTTAGTAGAAGGGCTTTTGCCAGATGCTCAATAGATATTTGTTCCCAGTGCAGTGCTTCCTGCAAGGCTGAAGGCGGCATCTAGCTACCTGTAGTATTTCCAGCCCTTATATTCCAATCTCCTTTTCGGTGTAAATGTGGTATGGGAAAATTTGGTAGGGAAACCACTCCTTCAGGGGAATTCACATGATTAACACCTACTATATTCTCCTAAGCTGTGCTGAATAGAATTGGATTGATGGAAGATAGTCAGATAGCCTTGTCAACTGTAAGTTGCTTCTACCAGTTCTGTCTTTACATGTATCTAAAGCGTGAGTATCTCAAAAAACAGATTTCTTGATATGGTGGTTTTTTTAGAAAAAAAAATGTAGTTAACACTAAAAAAGATTAGGAATCCATTTGCTATTATGAAGAAATGATGCAATTACATGGAAATCTTTCCCCCCTGTATTTTCCCCAAAGAGACAGAAGGAAAAAATATAATTATGTTTCTTAGCTTAGGACTGGCCTACAAAGCCAACCAGCTGGAATCTTTCCTCCAGCTTCCAAAACTATATTTTTTTTCTGGGTCCAGCACTCTATTTTATTTCTTTAGAATATCAGTTGCGGGCAGCCGGGGTGGCTCAGCGGTTTAGCACCTCCTTCAGCCCAGGGCGTGATCGTGGAGACCCAGGGTCGAGTCCCACATCGACCTGCATGTGGGATCCCTGCATGGAGCCTACTTCTCCCTCTGCCGTGTCTCTCTCTCTCTCTCATAAATAAATAAAATCTTTAAAAAAAATAAGAGTAATAAAAGAATATCAGTTGCAAAGCTGTTCTGATTTTTAAAAAACATCAACTCTTACTTTTCTCTTTGAAGACAAAATGATGCATTAAATTCAGTAAGACACCTTGCAAATTCGACACATGACATTTATGGTTTGGAAAAGTCATGTATTACTGAAATAAATTTTTGACTGAGAAATACAAAATTAATTTAAACTGGATCTGTCCAGTGGTTGAATTTTTTGGTATATTTTTTATTGGAGTTCGATTTGCCAACATATAGTATAACACCCAGTGCTTGTCCCGTCAAGTGCCCCCCTCAGTGTTTGTCACCCAGTCACCCCAACCCCCCTGCCCAATTCTCCTTCCACTACCCCTTGTTTGTTTCCCAGAGTTAGGGGTCTCTCATGTTCTGTCACCTTCTTTGATATTTCCCACTCATTTTCTCTCCTTTCCCCTATAATCCCTTTCACTATTTCTTATATTCCCTGAATGAATGAAACTATATAATACTTGTCCTCCGATTGACTTACTTCACTCAGCATTACCCTCCAGTTTTATCCACGTTGAAGCAAAAGGTGGGTATTTGTCGTTTCTAATGGCTGAGTAATATTCCATCATATATATATATATATATCACATCTTCTTTATCCATTCATCTTTCGGTGGACACCGAGGTTCCTTCCACAGTTTGGCTATTGTGGACATTGCTGCTATAAACATTGGGGTGCGGGTGTCTTGGTTTTTCACTGCATCCGTATCTTTGGGGTAAATCCCCAGTAATGCAGTTACTGAGTCGTAGGAGTCGTAGGGTAGTTCTATTTTTAACTCTGAGGAATCTCCACACAGTTTTCCAGAGTGCCTATACCAGTTCACATTCCCACCAAGAGTGCAAGAGGGTTCAGATGTCTCCAAAATCATTTCACAATAAAAACTCATAGACTAAGAACAGAGGAACACTTCAACTTAATAAAGAGCATCAAAAAATTTTACGCCTAATGACGAAATCACCTCAGTGACAAAAGACTGACGTGATATTACCAAGATTATGAGACAGGTCACTCATCCTCTGTCACTCCACAAAGAACAACAATTAGACAGCTAACTACAAGCAAAAATAGGCCTAAGAGCTATGAGCCCATTTAAGAAGCTTCAACAACACAGTGATCAAAATCCTGAAGATATAGCAGCAGTGTCCACAATAGCCAAACTGTGAAAGGAGCCTCGGTGTCCATCGAAAGATGGATGAATGGATAAAGAAGATGTGGTGTATATATATACAATGGAATATCACTCAGCCATTAGAAATGACAAATACCCACCACTTGCTTCAACGTGGATAGAACTGGAGGGTATTATGCTAAGTGAAGTAAGTAAATTGGAGAAGGACAAACATTATATGGTCTCATTCATTTGGGGAATATAAAAAAATAATGAAAGGGAATAAAGGGGAAAAGAGAGAAAATGAGTGGGAAATATCAGTGAGGGTGACAGAACATGAGAGACTCCTAACTCTGGGAAGCGAACAAGGGGTAGTGAAAAGGGAGGTGGGCAGGGGGATGGGGTGATGAGCACTGAGGGGGCACTTGACAGGATGAGCACTGGGTGTTTTGCAATATGTTGACAAATCGAACTCCAATAAAAAAAGTATCCAAAGAATCCTGAAGATAACTGTACAAAAAAAGTAGAGAAAATAGCTTCATTTTGCCTGCATCACTCCATGACCCAGGCCAGCACTGCTCAGCATCAAGAGGATACTCCTTGACCTGAGATACTTCCCAGTCCTGGGGAACAGCAGAGAGACCATTAGACTCATCCCTTCGGGGCATGATACAAGTGACCTGCTTTAGTTTCAAACCTCCAGAGATCGGCAGAGCTGACACATCTAGACATGGCTAGGATCAAAGAAGACCAAGACTACCAGTATTAGCCACGTGGCATGAGTGACCATGATTCTCTGAGTCCTTTTCTGCAGAGGACCCTAGCAGCCTTAACTGCTTGAGAACCAACAGCCAGCCCAGCGCTGTGTACCCTCTAAGATGTTGTTGCTGATATTCCCACAGGTTTTCACATTTGCAGACTCCAGCTGCCCCAGACTCTTGCTTAGTTCCATCTACTCTCCCTTGAGTTACCTCAGCAGAGCCACCACCTATACCCTGAGCCTCAGAATCTCACCAAGGGAGCCTTGGCATATGTACAACATCATCCCAGGCCCAGTAGCTTTCAGGTACCTGAGGCCATGCCTGACGCCTGTCACTACACTGAACTGGCACATGAGACCACAGCTAAACCCTGAATTTTATATCTACAAACTGCCAGTCCAAACTCCAGTCATGAGCCCCCACTGCTGAGCATACAGTAGTGGCTAACCATAAAGCAACATGAGTACACACAGACAGCCCAGGCACTCAGAGTTACCTGGGTCCCACAGTTGGTCACAGTCCCCGCTGCTCACCACAGCCCTGTTGGGGTATGTGCTTGCTTTCAGCCCCACAGCTGAGTGTGTGCATTGCATCAACTCTTTTTTTAAAAAGATTTTATTTATTTATTCATGAGAGACACACACAAAGAGAGAGAGAGAGGGAGGGAGAGAGAGAGAGGCAGAGACACAGGCAGAGGGAGAAGCAGGCTCCATGCAGGGAGCCCGACGAGGGACTTGATCCCAGGTCTCCAGGATCACATCCAGGGCTGAGGGTGGCACTAAACCATTGAGCCACCAGGGCTGCCCTATTGTACCAACTCTTGCCACTCTTCTCCTTCCCTGGTCCCATGGCCCTGGATCTGGTGGTGCTGCTGAAGGCCCTGCAGCTACTAAGAACCTTCCGCTGTATTTGCTGTTAAGGATCATGCAGTTGCTGATATTATGCCCCCCCCCAAATCCTGAACCAACCATGACCTCTTCGATTATTTCAAATTATCCAGTCCAAGTGGCGGGGTGGGGGTGGGAGGGAAGGAAAGAACTTGGGGGAAAAGCCTACAGGACTTATAGGATACCATAAAGTGAAACAATATTCACATTATGGGAGCCCTAATAGAAGAAAGAAGTGGGCAGAATGCTGACTTAAAGGAACAATGGCTGAAAACTTCTCAAATCTAGGGAAATATATGGAAATCTTGGGATATGAAGTTTAGAGTTCCCTATCAGATTTAATCCCCAAAATACTTCATCAAGACATTGTAATAAAACTAAAATAAAAAACTAAAGACTAAGAAAAAATCTTGAAAGCAGTATGAGGAAAGGAGCTCATCACCTACGAGGTAACACCAGGAGGCTATCTGTGGATTCCTCCACAGAAATCTTGAAAGCCAGAAGAGAGTGAGTGATTTATTCAAAGTACTTTAAAAAATATCAATCAAGAATACATTACCTTTAAACAAAAAATTTTAAAAAGGAAACCCTTACCCAGAAAAACAGAGCTTTCAGAATTGAGAGATATTTCCAGACAAACAAATGTAGAAAGAACTCATCATAGGGATGCCTGGATGGCTCAGCAGTTCAGTGACTGCCTTTCACCCAGGGCATGATCCTGGTGTCCTGGGATTGAGTCCCACATCGGGTCCCTGCATGGAGCCTGCTTCTCCCTCTGCCTGCGTCTCTGCCTCTCTCTCTCTCTCTCTCTATCTCTCTCTCTCTCTCTCTCTCTGTCTCCCATGAATAAATAAATAAAATCTTTTAAAAATATATAAATAAAAAAAGAATTCATCATGACTAAACCTGCCTTACGAGAAATACTAAAGGGAATTCTTCAAGCAAAAAAAAAAAAAAAAAAAGGACACTTGCTAGTAACATGAAATCACATTAAAGTATAAATCTCACTAGTAAATATAAATATATAGTCAAATTCAGAACACAGTGATATTGTATTAAGATATGCAAATCACTTATGACTAGTGCAAAGTTAAAAGACAAATAATTTTGAAAACTCTAGCTAAAATAATTTGTGCACAATATAAAAATATGTAAATTATGACAACAAATTATAAAACTGGTGGCGAAGGAGTAAAACCATTGAGATTTGAATGTAATCAAAGCTAAGTTCTTATTAGCTTAAGTAGATGGTTATATGTAAGATGTTTTATGTAAGCCTCCTGGTAACTGCAAAGCAAAAATTCTAGAGTAGATATGGAAAGGATAAAGAGAAAACAATCAAAGCATGTCATTATTTTTTTTAAAAACCATGAAATTACAAGAGAAGATAGAAAGAAGGGACAATTGATCTATGAAACACCTGGATTAATGAAATGACAATAGTAAATACTTACCTACCAATAACTACTTTAAATGTAAGTGGACAGATGAGTGGATAAAGAAAATGAAATATTACTCAGGCTTAAAAAGGAAGGAAATCTTGCCATTTCCAAACATGGATGAACCCGAATAACATGGACAACAGGCTAGGAGCACTAAACCAGACACAGAAGGACAGGTATTCCATGATCTCACTTATAAGTGGAATCTAGAAAAATAAAGTCAAGCTCAGTACCAGAGGGTAGAATGGTAATTATCACAGACTGGAAGGAGGGCAAAGGACAGATAGAAATCAAGCAGTACAAACTTTTAGTCATAAGATGAATAGGTTCTGGAAACTGAATATGTTGCATGGTGATATTAATCACTAATAACGTGCTGTATGCTTGAATTTGCTTTAAAAGCAGATCTTAGGGGCACCAGGGTGGCTCAGTGGTTGAGCGTCTGCCTTTGACTCAGGCATGATCCCAGGGTCCTGGGATTGAGTCCCACATCAGGTTTCCCATGACTATGCCTCTGCCTCTCTCTGTGTCTCTCATGAATAAATGAATAAAATGTTTTTAAAAAATAAAATAAAAGTAGATCTTACATGTTCTTACCACACACAAGACACACATATACAAAATAAATCTGAGTGGTGATTGATCTATTAATTCATTTGTCACAATCACTTTACAATGTATACATAAATAAAAACATCATGCTTAAATATATACAGTTTCCATTATAAAAATATATATTAAAATGTTTAAATGGTCTCAGAACAAAAAAAAAGTCCACTCCCACCACTCCTATTTTTAACATCATACTAGAATCCTAGCTAATGCAATAAGACAAAACAAAGAAATAAAAGGCATACAGATTAGAAAGATAAATATTGGAGTGTTCCTATTTCAGGTGACATAATTGTCAATGTAGAAAATCTTGAGGAATATGAAAAAGAACTTGGGATGTGTATTTAACAAAATATATGTGGTTTTCCTGTGCTGAGAACTAAATGTTGGTGAAAAGAATCAAAGAAAACCTAAATAAACACATATTGTGTTTGTGCATTGAAAGACATGACATAGTAAAGACATAGATTTTGCACAAATGATTGGTAGGTCGAAATCATGTCTTACAAAATCCTGGCAAATATCATATAAACACAGATAGGCTAATTCTAAATTTGGAAAGGCAAAGGAGCTAGAATACCTAAAACAATTCCAACAAAAATAAAATGGGAGAAATCACTGTTCATGATGTTGAGACTTACTATATAGCTACGGTAATCCAGAGACGGTGGCACCAGTAGAAGGACAGATACAGAGATCAATGAACAGAAGAGAATGAAAAATAGGTACACACACACGTAGGCCCAACTCAGTTTTGATACTGGTAGAAAAACAATTCAATGGAGGAGGTACAGCCTTTTCACAAATGGTGCTGGAGCACTTAGACATCCATAGGCCAAAACCAAAGACCTTTGACCTAAACTTCACATCTCTCATTAACACTAAAAATTGACACAAAATGTTAAATGTGAAGCATAAGAAGATATGAGTTTACATTATAAATATAAAACGTAAAACTATATACTTAAATGTAACACATTTGCTTGGAGAAAATCCTTGAGACTTATGGCTAGGTGAAGATTTTTCAAACTTGATGCTTAAGTCACAATCCATAAAAGGAAAAAAAGGATAAAGTAGCCTTATCAAAATAATTTACGAAGTGTTTGCTCTGCTGAAGACTCTGAGTCCATGAAAAGACAAGTTACACACCATGCCTATTAAAGAATAGGAAGAAGGAGAGTTCCAGGGGTGGAACAGCTCTGTAACATCCTTGGAGTGGTGGATTCAAAAGTCTACATGTAAGATAAATGTTCAGATAGCAGCACAGACACACACACACACACACACACACACACACATACACAAATGAGTACATATAAAACTATTGACAACTGAGTAAGCTCTGTGGCTAGAACCAATGTCAATTTTGACTTGGACCTTGTACTATAGTTATGCAGGATCTTACCTTAGAGGAAACAGCTTGAAGGTTACATGGGACATCCTGTGACAACTTCTTGTGAATCTGTTCTTATTTCAAAATAAAAGTTTTATGAATAACTATGTAAATTTAAAATAAACCCATGCCTACCCGCCGGTTTGTGAAGACAGAATAACATTCTTTCACTAGTACTGTTTTGATCATGTCCGGATCTGTGATAGCCAGCACAGGCTGTCGCCCATCATAAAACCTGTGTTGGGAAAACAGATGTGATTATACTTAACATGTTAGTTTTTGCAGCTGCAGCCATGCCTAGCAGTCCAGACTTTTATCCTCATGGTACCTAATCCATTCTCTGAGATTAGGGTTAGAAATAACATTAGAACATTTATTGAGTATACATGCGTACGTGGGTAGTTCCTGGACCATTCTCCACGGTTTTTTCTATGTTTAAAATATCTCAAATATTTTAGAATTATGTCAAGCATTTCAAATAATTTATCAAATATTATTAAAGAGGAAGTTAGGTTGGTAAATAACTGAAGGCAAGTAAATCATCTAGGAACAGAAAAAAAAAAGGAGAATCCACCTACCCAGTCACTAAAAATTATAATGTTGAAGATATATAAAACACATGAAAGGCATGTGATAGAATATTGGATGAAAATTGTGCACACACTAATCACACATATGGAAGAGGTGTCTACAAATGAAAAGACTTAGAATGCTCAAAAAGCGATGGCAATATTATACATTATATCCTTGCCCTATTTTCTAAAATATGCTTTCTAGTTACATTTGAAAGGAAATATTATTTTAAATCTTAAGAGAGGTCCTTGAGAGCATTAAATCAGAAAAATTTGATACAAAAATAGAATTTAAAAATACAGAAAAACATATATAACTCATTTTAGATATATTTCTTTTTTATTGCTTATATTTTTTCATATATGTGGGTTCCAAGTGGAAGTTCCTTGGGCTTCATGTAGGTGACAACCCATAGCATTAGGGCAAGCCAACTTTTGGATATGTCTCACACAAAGCTGACTGTATGTGATCTGTCCAAATCCTGTCTGACTTCCTGTCTGTCAGTATGATCTACCTGTTAATAGGAATCTGTCACCAGCATGAGGTTATTATAAGCTTAGTTACACCATAAATTAAATTTATTTTGTTTCCACTATAAATCATTTGCATTTATTGAAACATAGTGAAAGATTTTCCACAAGTCTCCTGCTATTTCTTTGACATCACAGAGGAATCTCAAATGTTTTGTGATCACATCTAAAATGGATGAGATCGCTACACTAAATGCTACTATCTCAAATGGCATTCTAAAATTCAGAAGGTTTCAGCGGGTGAAGACAGCATTTAGTGTTGATGCAGTGATAGAAATTACTGAGGGGGCACTTATGTCAGCTCTTCCAGCAGCCTGATCATAAGTCTTGGATGATTCCCCTTGTCTCATCATGTTCATTCAAAACATGCGGATGGACAAGGAACAGTGGTTTTGACTTAACTCTGTTATATTCATCCTAATATTGTTTCCACTACCAGTTAAATTCAGATTCTTGGGACCCAGCCCACATCCTTCAGATTTGGCATTCCTGGGGATGGAAACGAATCTGCATTTATTTTTACATTTTTTAATCTTTATTTTTACATTTTTTAATCTTTATTTTTACATTTTTTAATCTTCAATTTAAATTCAATTTGCCAACATATAGTATAACACCCAATACTCATCCCAACAAGTGCTCTCCTCATTGCCTATCACCATCCCCCCTCCACCTCCTCTTCCTCAACCCTTTACTTGTTTCCCAGAGTTAGGAGTCTCTCATGGTTTGTCTCCCTCTCTAATTTTTCCCACTCAGTTTCCCTCCTTTCCCTTATAATCCTTTCACTATTTCTTATATTCCATGTATGAGAAAAACTATATGATGATTGTCCTTCTCCGATTGGCTTATTTCACTCAGCACAATACCCTCCAGTTCCATCCACTGGAAGCATCCATTGAAGCAAATGGTGGGTATTTGTCTCTGAAACACTGGGACACCTGCACCCTGATGTTCATAGCAGCAATGTCAAAAATAGCCAAACTGTGGAAAGAGTCACGATGTACTTTGACAGATGTATGGATAAAGAAGAAGTGGTACATATATGCAATGGAATATTACTCAACAATCTGCATTTTTAACAAGCTCTCCTAGGAGGTCTTATCCACAGCCAAGATGAGAACCAAGTACTAAGGACAGAACTGGGGCTACAGATGTAAGACCGGATCCATCCAGAGCTGATAAGTACTGAATATAGGAAGGGGCAGTGGAGCTGAACCAGGGTGATTCAGAGATCTATCTTCTTTCAGCTCCATCATGTTGCTATGGGCCATGCCACTCAGAGCCATTCGATTTCTAAGGATGTGATCAGAGAAGATAAAGAGGTGCAGAGTGATACAACACTGGCTGTGATCATCACATCACCACGCTATACTCCCTAGGTCTGGTTCATACTTAGACCTGCACACCTGGTGACACATGGGATTTCAGGAAGGGAGACTCAGAAGCTTTACCACAGCAGGCTTCATTCCTAGTGGCTCTCAACAAACTGTCTACACCACGGGGGGCTCGTCACAACAAGCCTATCCAGTAGAAAGTTCCAGAATACTCACCCCCACATTCTTCCATACTTTCTAAAACATCTCTTGTCAAAAACAGAAAAACCCTGCAAGAAGAAACAAAACATATTACTCACCTAAATGTCCAAACCCTATGTGTAACAGGGACCAATACGACTTAGATTGCATGAAATATGGCTTACTACCTCCCACTGGCAGAGGGAAGCTCTGATTTATAGGCATCTTACAGGAAAGGAAAGAAAACAGAAGAGATCCTGGAAGAGAGAATATCAAGTCCCTCTTGAATTCTCTATGAGTATTGTAGATACTGGACATCTTACCCTGTCTCTGAGGACTGTGTAACCCCTGTCTGTCTGATGTGTTTGGCTTGTGTGTGTCTTTTCTCTAAATCTCAGAACCCTCTGAAATACTACCTCAGAGCCACATGGGAAAATGGGAGCTGAGGAAAGTGAGCATGGCCTGCACACGCTGAACACCCAGTTACCACTCTGTTCATTGATCAATATGAGCCCTATGAGATGTCAGTGGATTTAGGGTATTAAGACACCAGTGGCCTCTTTTAATCTAGCAGTTTTACAAATTCTAACACTATTGTTGTCTGAACAAATGAGAGATGAATGAATGAATGAATGAATGAATGAATGACAAGGTGGAATCCCGTTCCAGTCCACCATCTCAACATGGAAAGAGGGGATAATGCCACCACTCAACAAAGGGCAAAACAAACTAAAACACTTGATATGACTTTTCACTTCTATCACTTAAAACAAAACAAGACACTTCCTGTCCCTAAGTTTCAACTGTGATTTTGATGTTTTAACCATGAAAACAGGGTCCCCATAAATGTGGCTCTTGGGATATATGTACTAAGGAATTGATCTAGGGCAAGTGGAAAGGAAATTATTGCTCTTTTGGAAAGAAAAGGCCCAGGAAGTTCTGAGACAGTAATTGGGCAACGAGGGTCTCAGCAGGGAGAAGTGAGATCTGGGAAACAAGCCGCACATCTGTGGGAAAAGAACTCCACACCAGAAAGCAGCCTGCAGATGAGACTCTGCCTGCTGGCCTTCTGGACGTGAGCTCCTAACCTTCTATGCAGGGCCTGAGCCTTGGACGAGGCACCAAAGCTGAATTAGCCACAACAGCTCTACCAACATCAGTCTGTGTGTCTACTAGTACACTCCATTCAGTATATTAATTTCTTAATAAATTTGTCAAAGCATTTCTTTTCTAGTGATTTTGTATAAGTGGTTCTACCTTTGTATGAAAAACAACATATATACACACAACTCATTCAAAGGTTAAATTCTTTGGGTCAAGGTCAAGACAAGCACCATCTGCCCTTACCAAAACTCCCTCCCTCCTCAACTCACCCAGAAGTTACCTACAATGAAGGTAGAAAAGTAAAGCAGAGATCTCTGGTTCAACCTCTCAAATCCCAAGAGATGTCACCATTAGCAAAAGGAGAGTTAGGGCTTGGAAATAACTGCAGAGGCTGGCAATTCTTGCGAAAATTCAACTATGTGCAAATTCCCCAAAGGTGAATCTTGGGCTTCCCAATAATCTGACGTTCCAGAGCTATCCAGCAAAACAAAAGGCTACCCAGAGCTTGTACAGTGAACATAAAGGTCTGACTCTAGCCTACAGCTTAATGGACCACTAGCATGGACCCCCTTGATGCTTTTCTTCTCATACAGTATGATTATGCTCTCCTAGGAATCTGCACCTGCCAGAAACAAAAAGCCTCTTCACAATGCTAACAAGCTCGAATGTCAAGTTCCGTGTTGAATTAGCCAGAGAACTGGGCTGCCCACTGTAGCAAAACCTGAGGCTCAGAACAACAAACAATAGTGCCCTGGGGTAGAACCAGCCATGTACTGGGTGCAGCCTCTGACACCATTTCTGGGAAGTCTGAAACCTAAGCACTTCCTCATGAGGAGGAGCATCTTTATTATGAAACTAAGCTGTGATTTGCAACCACAAGAAGAAAAAGAGGGAGATCAAACACTTACATTACGGTAGCCCAGAGCAGTTCCCACAAAAGGCAGAGGTGTTGGCCCAGGAATTCCCAACTTCTTAAAAATCCCATGTGTGTAGGTCCCATACCTACAAAGTGAAAAGAAAGCCAGGTCACAGGGATGGTGGAATAGATGCTGGAGCTAGCCAGTCATTGACAGAGAACTGGGACAGGCAAGGGAGGGAGGTAACACGCAGGCAAGAAATAATGATAGCAATTTCAATGACAGTAATACATTTATTCATCATCTCCTTTCCCACCGTCACTATAAGACTCACGGAACATGATGATTAGCTAAGAGCAGCTGAAAGCTTCATAGTCACAATCCTAAAGTGAAGATTTGGTAAGTGTTTCAACACTTGAGTGTGGAAAAGGTTCCTAAAAGGTTTATGCCAACTTCTTCCAGGAATTTCACTCATGCTTATTTAATAAATGATTCTTCCATAACTTTCTCTAGAGTGGAAGAGAAAAAAATTCTTTCTGCTCCAATGATGATATTTTGCTTAATTATATTCACTCAGTGATAGAATGTTCATAAGAGCCTACTGTGAAAATGTTGATACAGCTTGCTCAAAGACTTCTGTGTTTTTCCTTCCTTGTAGGACCTATCACTGTGTGAGATCTGGTCCTTCTTAATTATCTCTTCACTGAGACACTTTGAGCAATGACACTCTTGTCATTTCTATACAATGAAAACTGTGTCCAAGGCTCCACTGACCTCATAGAAAAGTGAGATACTTTTAGCTCTACCCAAGTCTCTGTTGTCAGGCACTCTGGTTCTCTTGAGCTACAGAGAAGGGGGACTGACAAATATGTGCCCTAAATGATTCCATATAAAAGAATCGGTAAGGAAACAATCCACTTCCAGACCATCCTTCCCATCGTGGCATCAGGTCCTTCAATCTGTGATACTCACCTGCTCAGCACACTCCCAGGTACACTCATTTTCTTTTCAAGATGGTTACTCACATAGCAGTTAGTTTACTGAATCTGTGTGTCAACTATCTCAGAAACCCATTATGAATGGTGCTTCTTATGGCAGGTTTGCCTACAATCATCTTTCATGTGTTATGTGTGGAATCCCACAACGGGGGGTTCTAGATTAGGTGTTGCTGAGAAATGACAGCATGGAAGAAGAGAGGCTGAGGAAAGACATTGCCAGAAACCATTTTACCCATTAACCTGCTAGGCCTACAAGACTAACCCCATAAAGGCAAATTAAGAAAGTATGGAGGGAAAGGATGATGAGTAGAAATGGTTCAACAAGCCTATAGGTGATTTCAACTAACAGAGGGTTTTCCAAAGTCCTGATACCTCCAAGGACAGCAGAATACATGCTATACAACAAAAAATGAGTAATGATAAAATGTTTTTTAAAGATTTTATTTATTTATTCATTTTTTATAATAAATTTATTTTTTATTGGTGTTCAAGTTGCCAACATATAGATTAACACCCAGTGCTCAAGCCGTCAAGTGCCCCCCTCAGTGCCTGTCACCCATTCACCCCCACCCCCCGCCCTCCTCCCCTTCCACCACCCCTAGTTCATTTCCCAGAGTTAGGAGTCTTTCTGTTCTGTCTCCCTTTCTGATATTTCCCACACATTTCTTCTCCCTTCCCTTTCACTATTTTTTTAATAATAAATTTATTTTTTATTGGTGTTCAATTTACCAACATACAGAATAACACCCAGTGCTCATCCCGTCAAGTGCCCCCCTCAGTGCCCGTCACCCATTCGCCCCCACCCCCCGCCCTCCTCCCCTTCCACCACCCCAGTTCTGTCTCCCTTTCTGATATTTCCCACACATTTCTTCTCCCTTCCCTTATATCCCCTTTCACTATTATTTATATTCCCCAAATGAATGAGAACATACACTGTTTGTTCCTCTCCGATTGACTTACTTCACTCAGCATAATACCCTCCAGTTCCATCCACATTGAAGCAAATGGTGGGTATTTGTCGTTTCTAATGGCTGAGGAATATTCCATTGTATACATAAACCACATCTTCTTTATCCATTCATCTTTCGATGGACACCGAGGCTCCTCCCACAGTTTGGCTATTGTGGACATTGCTGCTAGAAACATCGGGGTGCAGGTGTCCCGGCGTTTCATTGCATCTGAATCTTTGGGGTAAATCCCCAACAGTGCAATTGCTGGGTCGTAGGGCAGGTCTATTTTTAACTCTTTGAGGAACCTCCACACAGTTTTCCAGAGTGGCTGCACCAGTTCACATTCCCACCAACAGTACAAGAGGGTTCCCTTTTCTCTGCATCCTCTCCAACATTTGTGGTTTCCTGCCTTGTTAATGTTCCCCATTCTCACTGGTGTGAGGTGGTATCTCATTGTGGTTTTGATTTGTATTTCCCTGATGGCAAGTGATGCAGAGCATTTTCCCATGTGCATGTTGGCCATGTCTATGTCTTCCTCTGTGAGATTTCTCTTCATGTCTTTTGCCCATTTCATGATTGGATTGTTTGTTTCTTTGGTGTTGAGTTTAAGAAATTCTTTATAGATCTTGGAAACTAGTCCTTTATCTGATACGTCATTTGCAAAAATCTTCTCCCATTCTGTAGGTTGTCTTTTAGTTTTGTTGACTGTATCCTTTGCTGTGCAAAACCTTCTTATCTTGATGAAGTCCCAATAGTTCATTTTTGCTTTTGTTTCTTTTGCCTTCGTGGATGTATCTTGCAAGAAGTTACTGTGGCTGAGTTCAAAAAGGGTGTTGCCTGTGTTCTCCTCTAGGATTTTGATGGACTCTTGTCTCACATTTAGATCTTTCATCCATTTTGAGTTTATCTTTGTGTATGGTGCAAGAGAGTGGTCTAGTTTCATTCCCTTTCACTGTTAATAAAATGTTATTTTTAATTGGAATGAAGACCTTCTCTCTTTTCTGGAGGTTAGCCTTTAAGGCAGTAGAAATTCCAGATATTCTGTACAAATCCAGCAACTCTTATATAATCAAATAAAACTTCAAAACTGCATTAAGGGATCAGCAGAGGCACCTCAGCTGGGCCCAGCTGGGTGTTTGGATCCTTCCTTCCTCCAGAACAGTTGGACACAGGAGCACCAACTGCCAGGAGCCGGGGTAGCCTCAGTCTCACCTCCATTCCTTCCTTGCCATCACCACCACAACAAATCAGTTTCTGTTTTGTTTCCTACATGAGCTCCCAGTTGAGGCAAAACTAGTGAGTGATGTGTCCCAAGGAAAGATCTTGTCTAGTGTCTAGACCCACATGGCTCCATATGTCATGGAGGATAGGCCAGGAAAATTTTTCTGATTCTTTCCAGCTTCCCTCTTCTTGGTAGATTAATATTGCTTTTGGTACAAATGAAGGGGTTAAAATAAAGCCACTCATTTTTATTGCCTTTACGTTGCATTGCATGCAGAGGGCACTGTCTACAGCTACTGAATCTTGGCTACACCAGTGTCTTCTAAGTCTACAGTGTTGTTTACCTGGTGATGACAGTATCCTGTGACAGCCCCACTGCCAGACAGACCACACACACTGTGACTTATGACTTACATGGTAACCCTGACAACTGGCTGCAAGCAGATGAGATGCTAACCCTGTGGTCCATTGATGACCACATCAATGATCCTGTGGGACCAGGATCAAGAAGAATCTCTGGGAGATCTGCTCTGAGGAAAGAATATTCTCCCGCTCCATCCCCAGTCCTACCTGGATGCCTCTCACATCAGTACTGGTTCAGTCTCACTACTCCCCTGTGCTGAGAGGTTAAAATAACCTCCCGGTCACATGTATTTAAAAATATATATGACCTATATCGCAGAACTATGTGTGTGTACACTAATTTCATATCCTCAACATCACTCTAGAAGATGTAGGTTATTTACACTCCTTTGTAGTAAAGGCTGAACCAATAGCCCTCTTGTATCCTTCAGAAAGAACCTGCTGGAAAGCGTCTTATGTCAGAAAAAATCTATAATTAAATAGAATGAGATTAAACCACATGAATTGGGCAGCACGAGTGGCTTAGCGGTTTAGCACCGCCTTCGGCCCAGAGCCTGATCCTGGAGACCCGGGATCAAGTCCCACATCGGGCTCCCTGCATGGAACCTGCTTCTCCCTCTGCCTGTGTCTCTGCCTCTGTGTGTGTGTGTCTGTCTCTCATGAATAAATAGATAAAATCTTTAAAAAAAAAATAAACCACATGAATTAATCTTAAATGTCATCACACAAAAAATGTGTTGCCATAGCACCTGGGAATCCTAACCTTTCTCTCAGGAAATGAAAATGAGGTTTTCATGTTCTATGTTCATGTCCTCATGATTTCCTATTGTTAAAGAAAGTGAAATTGAAACAGAGGTGAAACGTGACATGGACGGTCCATCCCTACCCACACTGTGAAACTCAGTCTTTCCCAAACTGCTCCATGATGCTGGTAATCCCACCACTGAAAGGAATTCCTATGCTAGATGTTTGGATTCCTCCTCCAGTACTGTAATATAAAGGCAAAAACATATTTAAAATCCAAATTGGCTTTCAGGGCTATGTCTTTGTGACAGCTGGCAGATTTCATATTGGGGGTAAAGAAATCTCTATACTGAGATTTCTGCCCTCCCAGAGACTAGAAGGAAAAGTTGAAATGAATAACATTTTTAGAAATCTGCCAAGTCTCCTCAGCTGTAAAGATGCTCATTTAGGGGTAAGGAGTTCTGTATATTATGGGGGGTAGGGGTGGGGAATGGTAAGTAGAAGGGCAGAAAAGAGGGAAGAGACCTTTGGGAAGAAGAAGATGAGACATCCTCAGCCCCCCTCCCCCAAAGACTGGTTGCACCAGGTGCCTTGTGTGTATGATGCCTGGTGGTGGAGAGGGGGGAGCAGGAGCCACATGAGTGACACAAGCCCAATTCTTCTATAATGTCTCTTATAACAGAGAGGAGAAGGTGAAGATAATAAGACAAAGACCTAAGTCACTCCCTCTACCTCCAGAATTGTCACAGCTTGGAAAAGGGATGAGGACCCTAGAGCACAGGGACCTGTTGATTTTACTGTGCCTCAGCCAAATTCTACTTAATTAATCTAGGTCCCAATATATAGGCAATCAGAAGATCATCCCTAGGAGGAAATATCACTCTACCTTCTAGCTACAGAAGTTAGAGTCCAGTGTGGGGAGCACTTTTTCAGCAGATTTGGTAAGGCCAATAATAACCTCTTATGTGTTCCTAGTATGTATGAAGCATTCAACACAAGCTACATCCCCTTTGTTAACACTTTTGATCTTCAAAACAGAAAAGGAAAACAGGGTAGAGGCTAATTAGCAATCCAAATCAAGGATACAGAGGCAATGAGCCTGGAAAGTTACTCACAGATAGAGGAGCACCAGGCTGATAGCCAGAAGAAGCCAGGTTTCTGTGGAAAAGCTTGGGATCAAGTCCATGACCACTTGTCCTCTGTGAATTCTCTGTACTTTCACTCAGCGGTGTGTGCTAGTCTTTGATGGCCTTTTGTGCAGAGCTTCATTCCCACTTGTGGGGATTCAGTGAGACTAGACTATATATATACAGAAAGGGGGCGGGGCTGGAGCTACAGCCACCAGAAGGGTGACATGTGCTCCACCAGCAGGCAACCCCCCAGCCATGAGCATTGGCAAAGTAAGGTAAACAATTCCATTTTGATCTCCTATGAGTTCATACTCTGTGGAAATCAATAAACAACTCAGTGTCATCAGTAATCTCAAAGGTTACAGAAACTCATTAAAATCACTGTCCTTAACCCTCTAACCTGTCCTTGTCACCATGGTTCCCTGCACCCCTAAATATTTGAAATCCTTCAAACAAGCTAGGTCTACACACCTTTACCCATGTACTTTCCTCTGCCTACAAATGCTCCTGTGCCCCCTACAAGGATCCTACTCATCCTCCCACCCGGTTCCAATGGAATCCCCTCTGTTAGAGTCCTTTGTCACCAACTTACTTGAACAGACATAAGCACTTCCTTCTCTGGGAAATTCCTATTACCCCAACCCCAGTTCTATTGCTACCCTTTCTACCTTTGAGCCCCATTATGGTCTCACACTTATTTGCCTTACAGATAGAGAGCTTCTCAAGAGTGCAGTCTGGGTGTTCATCGACATTATGTCCCTAGTCACCCGCAAAGTGCTGTATGCTCAGAAGTTACCCAGAAAGGTTGGTAGAGTTGAGTTGGTAGAGGTGAAACTGCTAGGTTCCCTGTGTCCTTTCCATGTGGATCTTTGGTGACCAGGCCACATTCCTGATGGGAGAGATCTGAGAAGATAGCATCTGGAAATTGCACCTGCTCATTATCATCACTCTGACCCATGTTCTGTGTCTGCATGGCCTGAGAAACTGTGGATTATGTGGCATAACTCTGGAATCCCTGGGACAACACAGCCCTACAAATAGATAATTAAGAAAGAAGTGGCTGCAAGCTTGAATAGTAACAATGGGCAGACATAGGAAGCTGGAAGATGATCCCCAGGAAAAGTAGGAGAGAAAGTCCAGGAATTCTGAAATATTTCTGCCCCTTTTGGTGCCTTCACTGGGTACCATTCAATAGGGTCATGATATTCCCTGTTTATAGATGTGGCAACTGAGACTCAGTGACTGCAATGAGCTTTCCAACAACCCATTGATCACAAGAACAAATTGTAAATAAGCAAACATGAAGAGAGACTGGAAAGTCTTCTGGGCTCTGCAACATCAATATTCAATGCTTGCCCTTCCCTGGTAAGGGTCACTACGTAAATAGTGAGATCCAGGCTGCAACAGCAAAGTGGTTAAATTTTTGTTCCTACCTCCATGGTGACCTGAACAGCAGCTATCTTGTGGGTCTTCCAGGACAAAGGACTCCGCCTCACATCAGCAGGAAAGACAGATGCTAGTCAAGATGGTAGTAAGGGTATTGTTGGGTGGGATCTGCCTCCCTATGTTCCCTAGCAGAGTACACAGAATACATGCAAACAAGGGAAGATTCCTGTCATCTGATAATCTGGACAACTTAATTCCTTCACATAAGCACAAAGCCTTTCTTATTTTACTTGAAAACCAAGCCTCTGCAGAAACTAATATGCTCCAAAACCCATGCTCCACTATGATGATTTGTAAACTAAGCCTAATATGAGCATCCACCTGCCCTATTTACCTCTGGTTCTGATCTAGCTGCTTGGAATCTGTCCCTGCAGTGATATGCTTGTCATAGCTGGGGACTAAAATTCAGCTGGCACTGAACCAATGCATATGCCCTTGGCTACAGGGGGAAATAATAGAAGCATGAGCTTTGTGTCCCATTCTTCTCCAGAAGGGGACACCTGACATGATGATATTTGCATTCTCAGAGCCCTGCAGAATGTGTGAAGGAAGACACTGTGTGTTGGAAGAATACCCCACGCACCCCGTGGCTGTCATCTACTCCTTCCTATACTAATACTCTCATCATGTACTTTCCATACTCTGCTCTAAATTCATGGGGTAGGGGGCACCTGGGTGGCTCAGTGGTTGAGCACCTGCCTTTGGCTCAGGTCATGATCCTGGGGTCTTGGGATCGAGTCCCCCATCAGGCTCCTCGCAGGGAGCCTGCCTCTCCCTCTGCCTATGTCTCTGTCTCTCACTCTATGTCTCTCATGAATAAATTAATAAAATCTTCTAAATAATAACATAATAAATTCATGGGAAACATATAACTAAGACCCAGACATCATTCAGGTTGAAATTAGAAGAATCTAACATAATTATAGTACAGCCAAAATAACTATGCTCCCTCCTTAACAGTGAAGGATTGATCTGCTTTCTCAGTCTCCCTAGGTACTGGACAAAACTGAATCTCAAACACCACTCAGAGAAATCTTAGGGCCCTGGCCATCTAATATTCCCATCCCTTTATATCTTGAGCCCATGTGGCACCTCTTCTCAGAATCTGGACCTGATTTCTACTGACCAAAAGAGAACTGCTCACAGCACAGGAGCCAGTGTTGCTCTGGAATGATTTGTGCATTAAATTCAAATTGCACAGATCATAATCGTGAGTGTGCAAATGTGCAAAAAAGAAAGATTCTGTGTCTCTTCCTAAGCTGTCAAGCTCCCATTCTTCCCAGTAAGGCCAAACTTGACTTTGTCAACCTTGGATAACTAGGTGGTATCTAAGTTTTGGTGGCTGGGTCCTGTAGTTTGGTGTGGAAGTGGTGATCTGTGGACAGTCCCAGCATTGGAGGAGGTGGGCTCCATTGTCATCCCATTGTCATTAGATGTTGATTGGGCTCTACATCTGCTGCAGTAAATCCATGGGCCCAGCACTAAATGTTAAAAAGTCAAAATTCTTGTCTAATAAACCCAACACTCTAAAGGGATGAGAGACACTAAACAAATAACCACACAACTACTGAGCTATAAATCAAAACCTGCTATAAAGTAATGGTATTTGTGGGCAGCCCAGGTGGCTCAGCGGTTTAGCACCACCTTCGGCCTGGGGCGTGATCCTGGATACCCAGGATCAAGTCCCACATTGGGCTCCCTGCAGGGAGCCTGCTTCTCCTTCTGCCTGTGTCTCTGCCTCTCTCTCTCTCTCTCTCTCTCTCTCTCTCTCTTTGTCTCTCAAAAATAAATAAATAAAATCTTTAAAAAAAAAAGTAATGGTATTTGTTTTATTGGTGACTTTGTCCAGCCAAATACCTGACCCTCACTGGCCCTTTAGAAATGTTCATTCAGTATGAACTCATAAACAGTTCAACACATGGCTGACAGAGGACAAGAGTTATAGAGTAACCCTAAATTATGCAATGTAGTCTCTTTCAGCAGGAAGAGGTGACATGAGTTCAAGTTTTAGTTCAAACATAATAAAAGGTTTAGAGTTTGCTGGATGTGGACTGCTTACTTTTTTCCTTCTTAGTGGTTGTGCTTAAATGGTTCTTACTTCTTGTCTATGAGAGGTATTGAGGTTGTCTATGTTTAGAGACTTCATCATGGATTCTAATTGGAGCCTGCAGTGTTGGTCCAGCTGTGTAAACAGGGCGAGGAACAGGACCACCACACCTCACTTCTCTCTACCCTCATGGGATATAACACCATAGGATGAGAACTCACTTGTCCCCCTTCTCCTAGTGGGCAGAATTTGTCTCTAAATGGTTCCCTAGAGTGCCTTATAGGTCAATAAAAGCTAAAACCCTAAAAAAACAAACAGCAGCAGTAAGGAGAGCTCATATCTTCCTTACCAATACAATGTGTTTATAAAATTCAGTTGGGACTTCCAGGTAGAATCAGGACCAGAGAGGAGAGTGAAACATTCCACTTGAGGGCCAAATTGCCAAAATCTAACTAATCATATATATGATACACTTGATTTGAATACAATACTTTTAAAGTCAATATGACATCAATAAGGGTTAAAATACCAACATTTCAAAGAAAGACACGTTTACTAGGTTAACTTAATGTAAGTATTTCACTACAAAAAACAATGAGAGGGAGAAACCTAGGGAATAATTCCAGGAGTTCCACCAATAGGAGTTGGTGACCAATAGCAGTTTCCAGACAAAGAATAGAAACAATGAGAACATGGGACGCCTGAGTGACTCTGACTGTTAGTGTCCGACTTGATTTTGGCTCAGGTCATGATCTCAGTGTTGTGAGATCAAGCCCCATGTCTGGCTCCCCGCTGGCACGGATCCTGCTTGGATTATCTCTCAGCCTCCCTCTGCCCCTCCCCTACCACTTGCATGCATGTTCTATCTTTGTCTCTCAAAAAGAAGAAAAAAGAAAGAAAGAAAGAAAGAAAGAAAGAAAGAAAGAAAGAAAGAAAGAAAGAAAGAAAGAAAGAAAGAGAGAGAAGAAGAAGAAGAAAGAAGAAAGAAGAAAGAAGAAAGAAAAAAGGAAGGAAGGAAAGGAAGGAAGAAGAAGGAAGAAGAAGAAGAAGAAGAAGAAGAAGAAAGAAGAAAGAAGAAGAAAGGAAGGAAGGAAGGAAGGAAGAAGGAAGGAAAGAAGAAAGAAAGAAAGAAAGAAAGAAAGAAAGAAAGAAAGAAAGAAAGAAAGAAGAAGGAAGAAGAAGAAGAAGAAAGAAAGAAAGAAAGAAAGAAAGAAAGAAAGAAAGAGAAAGAAAGAGAAAGAGAGAGAAAGAAAGAAAGAAAGAAGAAAGAAAGAAGAAGAAGAAGAAGAAGAAGAAGAAGAAGAAGAAGAAAGAAGAAAGAAAGAAAGAAAGAAAGAAAAGAAAGAAAGAAAGAAAGAAAGAAAAAGAAAGAAAGAAGAAAAGAAGGAAGGAAGGAAGAGAAAAAAGAAAAAAAGGAAGAAAGAAAAACACAAAAATTAAAAGTAGGAGAAATAATACAAGAAAATATATCTGGACTCGAGCAACAGTCTCCAGAAAGAAAGGTCAATATACTGCGTTGTCCAATATACAGCTCCAGGACACATGGGGCAAATTACATTTAAATATAAATTTGTTAAAACTATATAAAATCAGAAATGCAGTTCCTCAGCCACACTGGACACATTTCAAGTGTGCCATAGCCTCATGCAGCTGGAGGCAACCATATTGGATAAGACACATAGAGAACATTTGCATCATTGCAGAAAGGCCTCTTGTGGGCCCCTGGGTGGCTCAGTCAATTCAGTTTCTGACTCTTGGTTTTGGCTCAGTTGCGATCTCAGGGTCGTGGAACTGAGCCCTCAGTCAAGCCTGGCACTCAGCAGGGAGTTTGCTTGGGATTCTCTTTCTCACTCTCTTTTTATCTCTGAAAAAAAAATGTATTAATTAAAAAAAAACTCTTTGATAGCTCTGCCTAGAATAATGCATGACAGGAGATACACGAAGGCACACCTCATGAACTTTCAGAACACCAAGGACAAAAAGAAGATTCCAAATGCTTGCAGAGAGAGTGAGGAGAGCAAGACACAAGTCCCATGCAAAGAATCAGAAACCAGAAGGGCACTGATCTTCTCAACAGTGATACTAGATACAAGTCTCTATGTCTTCAAGTTCACAGAGAAAATTCCAGCCCACCTAAAAGTCTATACTCAAATCATCCATCAGGTAAGTGAGTAGAGCAGAGATATATTCAGACATGCACATACTTAGGAAAAATTTACCTCTCTGCATCATTCTTCTGAAAACAACAGGAAGGTCTCTGCCAAAATGAGGGAGAACATCAGAAAGAGATCAGAAAGAGTGAGGCACCACTAGTTTTTTTATAACCACTGTCTTAGTACTGTACAACTGTCTAAAGCATGTACATCTATACATTTGATTTTTAAAAATAAATTTTTAGCCTCAGACCAGGTATCAGCTCCTCTCAACCCTCTTTGGTGACAAGTGTTCCTTCTCTGTGCTCTCAAAGCATCATGCCTGACCTTCCACCATACTGAAACTGTCTATTCATGGGTCTGAATTTTCCCCACCAACAGGGCCCATTTGGACCTGATCTGGAGCACTAAGTAAAAAATGTTTGTGGATCTAAACAAAAGCAGGAGCAAGAACCTTCCTGGTGACCTCTAAGGCATGTTTGAGGTTCAGATGAACTTTAGATAGCCGGTATTGGGAAATGCCCAAGTGACAAAACGATAGAGCTACTTGGTGAAGTCCATGTGCTGTTTCCAATATATGTTTCACAAACAGTCACAATGTTTTACTGAAGGCCAACTATGAGTTCAGCAGTGTGTAGTCTCCTCGAGGATAGTTGTGGGGTCAACATTAGTCACAAAGCCATCCCTATCCTTTGGGGGCCTATGGGCTCCAGCCCAGCATTGGAACTAATGAGCTTGTCTGAAAGCAGCTCAGCCTAGTGAGTGAGGCCACAGGTCAGACGGCTCCATCATTCCCATTCTCTTACCTTGAGCATGCCATTAACTTCTCCATGCCTCAGGTTTTTCAGAGGGTTGTTAGGAGGATTAAATAATAAATCTGTAAAATTAAGGCCTTGGACTCAAATAGTGAGAGTCTCTCCAGCTCTCTGATTCTTTCATTTCATCTTTGTTAATCAAGTGTGTTATGGTTCCAACTGCAGAAATGAGAGACACACTGCTTCTGAAAACAAACAGATACCAAAAGAAAATGAAACTTTTTAACTTTTCATCTTTGACATTATTGTCCCCAAGAGATGTTTCCTGTGGTGACAGTGGGGAGGTAGATTTCTTGTTCCCATAAAACAACTTCTTGGTCTCACTTAGGTAATGAGATTTTCCAAGTTCAGTCTTTCTGATCTTATCCCCCACTGCCCTTTCCCTGCTCCTCCCAGAATGAGCTCAGGATGTTCCTGGCTGGGAAGGTGGGCCTCAGAACCTCTCTCTGCCCTGGGCCTTACAGTGACACTTGCTTCCTGCTCTGGTTCTACAAAGGTCCTTATGATCTGTGACTGTATCCGTGGTTCTATCAGTCCTGGGAGTTGCCCCCGCTGACCTGGGCCCTTCTCACTGGCACCCAGGATCCAGCCCCACCCTCCACCCAGCTTTGATGAGAGTGCAGGGTCACTGCTGTAGGTCCCTTTGTCCTCCCGTGGTGGTCATGTACCGGCTCACAGACTCTCCCCATAGATCCTGGTGCAAGCTGACTTGTGTCCCCTCCCAATCTGTATGTTGATGTCTAACTCCCAGCAATTCAAAATGTGACTGCAGTTGGAGATGTGGCCTTTAAGAAGGAAATCAAAGTTAAATGAGATCTCTAGCATGGGCCCTAGTCCAACATGAAGAGATCAGAACACAGACATCCACAGAGGGCAGACCATGTGAAGACACAGGAAGAGGATGGCCATCTGCAAGCCATGGAGAGAGGCTTTGGAAGGAGCCAAACTTGCTGATTATGAACCCATAATCTTGGACTTTCAGCCTCCAGAAATGTGAGAGAATAAATTTCCATTTTTGGAGCTCCCCAGTTGGTGGTACTTTTTACAATAACCCAACAAACTAAAGCTGATCCATTCTTCTCTCGTGGGCTAGAGCAGGGGGCATGAGGCTCACTGGTTGTATAGTAATTATGTTTCAGTCTCTCAAATTAATTTATGAGATCCTCCTGGGTAGGAATCACAACTTCCTCATTTCTATATTCTTGGGGCCTAAGAGTGCTGTAACTGGCATGGTGATTTCAAAGGCAAAAGATGGAATAATCTTTTTTTGCACAATCACCTTCAAATATCAGTAAAAGGGAGAGTACAGAAGTCACATACTCTGTAAATAGACCCATTAATTAACCATCAGTACCAGTTCTGGTTGCATAACAGAAAGGGTCATGAGACTTAGAGATGTTAGCCCCTTGCAAGTCACTGGAATAGGGAAGGTCAAGCTTTGGCCCATGTGGCCACAGCCTTGACAACACTGATACCTAGAGTTGATGACTTCAAGCCAGTACTTCCCTCTGGCTCTTTTTTTTTTTATATAAATTAATTTTTATTGGTGTTCAATTTACCAACATACAGAATAACACCCAGTGCTCATCCCGTCAAGTGTCCCCCTCCGTGCCCGTCACCCATTCACCCCCACCCCCCGCCCTCCTCCCCTTCCACCACCCCTAGTTCATTTCCCAGAGTTAGAAGTCTTTATGTTCTGTGTCCCTTTCTGATATCTCCCACACATTTCCTCTGGCTCTTAATTCAAGATGAGTCAATTCACCAAAACTGAAAGACATTAAGATCTAGCATACTCTATCACTCTCATTTTTCTGTTAGAGATAGAGGCGTAACTCCACAGAAATGGAGAAAACACTAAAGTGGCCTCTTGGAAAAGCCCACCAAAGCACTAATTATGCCCACAGAATGGGGGCAGTGGAGTGGGCCAATAAAGGACAATGCAGGGGTTAGTTAGGTGTCAGGGCAGGGTATAAGCCCTGATTTAAAATAGTAAAGTGCGTTTACAGAAATATCCTTCTTCATATCACAGAGGTAAGAGGTGGGGGAAGAACTGAAATACCAGAAACTATCCTCAGGAATCCAGTGACTGAGTCATTCAGCAAATGTTGATCTGTGCTAAACTGGGTGACTTCAGGGTAGCCCAGGTAGCTCAGCAGTTTAGCGCTGCCTTCAGGCCAGGGCATGATCCTGGAGACCCAGGATCGAGTCCCACGTCAGGCTCCCTGCATGGGGCCTGCTTCTCCCTCTGCCTGTGTCTCTGCCTCTCTTTCTCTCTGTGTCTCTCATTAATACATAAATAAAATTTAAAAAATAAAAATAAAAAATAAACTGGGTGACTTCATTTGCTTCTGTAACTCACAAGAGCCTGCTCAGGAAATGTGAATCTCAGTGACAACGGACAGCAGTGTTAGTAGCTTGCCTCATGCCTGGAATCCCATCAGAGCATCATCTGCATTAATACCTTCAGTCCTCACAAGTGCCCCACAATAGGGTTATTATCATCTCTGCATCACAGATAGGGAAACCGAGGCTCCCCAGGTGGAATAACTAGATCCTCCAGCTCTTTTTGGCAGAACTGGCTAATGAATCCAAGAAGAGTCTGCCCTTCAACCAGCAGAGTCTACTGGTGGCGGTAATCTTCATCCTCCCAACAGAATAGCTGCTTTAACCTTAACCCTTTATGTGTATATACAAAAACCCCATATATATACACACACAAACACACCCATACACACAACACACTCCCCTGTACACACACATCTTGTACATACAAATACACACAATCCGGTAGACAGATACACAAACCTATACGCACAGATACACACACACACACACACCTGTACATGTACACTCACCTGGACATACACACATACAAACCACCACCACCACTTCTGTCCCTGCCCAGCAAGCCCAATTGACAGTCAACCCTGGACAGTCTGCAGAGTTCTTTGCTGTGGCATCCAAGAGCTCCCAACTCCTCTGTTTCTGTATCAGTCATTACGCTGAAACAAACATGTGGTATATATATATATATATATATATATATATATATATATGAGTGCAACGACAGCACAGAATATATTCACAATGATCTTGCTGACCTCAATGATGTTGAAAGCAGAATAAATATAAATCAGAATAAATATATATAAATATATATTAAATAAATATAAATTGTACACACACACACACACACACACACACACACACACAATGGAATATTACCCAGCCATTAGAAAGGACGAATAACCTACCATTTGTTTCAACGTGGATGGAACTGGAGAGTATTATGCTGAGTGAAGAAAGTCAATAGGAAAAGGACAAACATATGGTTTCACTGATATAGGGAATATAAAAAATAATGAAAAGGATTATAGGGGAAAGGAGAGAAAATGAGTGGGAAAAATCAGAGACGATGACAGAACATGAGAGACTCCTAACTCTGGAAAATGAACAAGGGGTAGTGGAAGGGGAGGTGGGCGGGGGGATGGGGTAACTGGGTGACAGACACTGAGGAGGGCACTGGATGGGATGAACACTGGATGTTATACTATATGTTAACAAATTGAACTCCAATAAAAAGTATACAGAAAAATAAATTAATTTAAAAAATGAATAACTGAGTGGAATAAATCAACGATTTTATCTCAGAATCTTTTGGTGAGGAATTCAGAAGTGACTTGGTTGAGTAGTTCTGACCAGAGTCTTTAAAGCCATAATCTGCATGCTGGACTGAGCTGGAACCCACTTCAAGGGTAACTCCCTTGTGGGCCTGGCAGGTCAGCACCAACCATGGCAGGATGTCTCCAGTGCATGGTATGTGGTTGTGACTATCCTCACAACATGGCAGCTGGCTTTCCAGAGCAAGTGACCAAAAAGGGCAAGGTGGAAGAATCTTTGTCTCTTATGAATTAGCCACAGTCACACTCTGACATGTCCACAGTATCCTCCTGATTACCAGGCCAGCCCTGTTCATGGGGTGGAGAATATACACCATGAGGAAAGAGACACTGGCATGCTCTTCAAAGCTGGCTACGCCTACAACCACAATGTTGCTCTACTGAGAGGTAAGCTGGGGACACAAAGCCTTGATATGAAGCAGGCCCTGCGCTTAACAGGTGCCCAGTAAAGTCGGCCCTCTCCCTTCTTCCTTTTGACCTGATCCATGAGACTTTATAAGGGCCACCCCTGCTTAGACACCAACACTCCTTTCTCTGACCTCACCCACAACCCCACTGCTACCCCCATGACTTACAGGAAATAAAAGGTGATAACTTCCAGTTTCCCACAGTTGGCAACTCTCTTCTGGGTCCTATACATCTGGCTGCACTGAAATAAAGGAGGGCTATTCCAGTGATTTAATGTGGCATAATACCCACCCAAAGGATTGGATAATCTTTTATTTTACTTACGAATCTGGGGTTGACTGGACTCAGTGGGGCAGCCCTTACTTGGAGTCTCATGTGTTTGCAGAAAGACTAGGGCTGAGGTCATCCTGAAGGCTCTCTTCACAAGTCTCAGTTGGAGAGATTCAAACAGCTGAGCCTGGAATGCCTCGAGCTCCCCAGATATTTGTCTTTCTAGATACATATAATGATGATAGATGGGTAGATAGATAGACAGATAGTTAGAGATAGACATGACAGATAAAAGGGTGAATATGGATAGATGATAAAGAGATAGAGATAGGTAAATAGATGATAGATATAGAATCCTATATACTTACATAGAGACTTCCACTAAAACACTTACAAAATAGGATTTGCATCTTCAAACAAGATTCTATAGACAGGACAATTATTGACTCTCTTCTTCTGCTGGGTGTACGATCTTTTTTTTTAATAAATTTATTTTTTATTGGTGTTCAATTTACCAACATACAGAATAACACCCAGTGCTCATCCCGTCAAGTGCCCCCCTCAGTGCCCGTCACCCATTCACCCCCACCGCCCGCCCTCCTCCCCTTCCATCACCCCTAGTTCGTTTCCCAGAGTTAGGAGTCTTTCTGTTCTGTCTCCCTTTCTGATATTTCCCACACATTTCTTCTCCCTTCCCTTATATTCCCTTTCACTAATATTTATATTCCCCAAATGAATGAGAACATACATTGTCTTCTTTCTTTCTTTCTTTCTTTCTTTCTTTCTTTCTTTCTTTCTTTCTTCAAACAGCTTTAGTAGAATAGGTATGGTTTCCTTTTTTTTTTATTTATGATAGTCACAGAGAGAGAGAGAGAGAGAGAGAGAGAGGCAGAGACATAGGCAGAGGGAGAAGCAGGCTCCATGCACCAGGAGCCCGATGTGGGATTCGATCCCGGGTCTCCAGGATCGCGCCCTGGGCCAAAGGCAGGCGCTAAACCGCTGCGCCACCCAGGGATCCCAATAGGTATGGTTTCTTTAAACGTTTGATAGAATTCCCCTGGGAAGCCATCTGGCCCTGGACTTTTGTGTCTTGGGAGGTTTTTGATGACTGCTTCAATTTCCTCCCTGGTTATTGGCCTTTTCAGGTTTTCTATTTCTTCCTGTTCCACTCTTGGTAGTTTGTGGTTTTCCAGAAATGCATCCATTTCTTCTAGGTTGCCTAATTTATTGGCGTATAGCTGCTCATAATATGTTTTTAAAATCGTTTGTATTTCCATGGTGTTGGTGGTGATCTCTCCTTTCTCATTCATGATTTTATTAGAGTCTTTTATCTCTTCTTTTTAATAAAGCTGGTTAATGGTTTATCTGTCTTATTAATTCTTTCAAAGAACCAACTACTGGTTTTGTAGATCTGTTCCACAGTTCTTCTGGTCTCTAGTTCATTGAGTTCTGCTCGAATCTTTATTAATTCTCTTCTTCTGCTGGGTGTAGGATCTATTTGCTGTTTTTTCTCCAGCTCCTTTAGGTGCAAGGTTAGCTTTTGTATTTGAGTTCTTTCCAGTTTTTGGATGGATGCTTGTATTGCGATGTATTTCCCCCTCGGGACTGCTTTTGCTGTATCCCAAAGACTTTGAATGGTTGTATCTTCATTCTCATTGGTTTCCATGAATCTTTTTAATTCTTCCTTAATTTCCTGGTTGACCCTTTCATCTTGTAGCAGGATGGTCCTTAACCTCCACGTGCTTGAAATCCTTCCAAACTTCTTCTTGTGATTTAGTTCTAATTTCAAAGCATTATGGTCTGAGAATATGCAGGGGATGGTCTCAATCTTTTGGTATTGGTTAAGACCTGATTTGTGACCCAGTATGTGGTCTATTCTGGAGAAAGCTCCATGTGCACTGGAGAAGAATGTGTATTCAGTTGCGTTTGGATGTAAAGTTCTATAAATATCTGTGAAATCCGTCTGGTCCAGTGTATCAGTGTACAGTGGCAGCGGCCAGCTCTCCAGCTCTGGAGTCAGCTCCAGCAGTAACTACCGCAGCTCTCAGCGTGCAGAGGCCTGGATGCTCCACGGGTGGGGGCAGGGGCGCTGATCTGCACAGCTCAGAGCCGCCCAGCGGCAGGAGCGTCCTGGCTGTTCTGTGCTCTCCCGGCCTCTGCCTGTTCCGGGGGAGCGCCGGATCCTGGGCTGCGTCCCCCCACGCCCCGGGCTCCGGGGCCTGCGCTGCTGGAATCGAGCTGCTGGGGCCCCGCAGCCCCCTCCGCGCGGAGCCACGCCTCCGGAGCTGCTCCCGGGCCCCACCTTGTGCGCGCTGCAGGCCTTTAGGGAGCTCGGCCACAGTGTGTGGCGTGCTCTCCTCCCGGGGCACAGCTGCTCTGTTAGTGTCCCTGGGAGCCTGAGGGCATCTCCGCCCCTCCTGGGGTCCTGCTCCAACTCCCTGCAAGCACCTTTCCAACCGGGGAGATTGGTGAAGCTTCTGCTTCTCGGGTCGGGGCTTTCCTGTCCTGGGGGCACTTGCCCCACAGCCTTAGCCTGCTCCTCGCGGGGCCTCTCCCCCTTGGATGCTTTTGATTTATCTTTTTTCCCCATCTTCTTACCTTGATAGAAGCGCGAATTCTTCTCACTGTATCATTCCAGCTGTTCTCTCTTTAAATCTCAGGCCGCATTTGTAGGTTTTCAGGATGATTTGAAAGTTACCTAGGTAATTTGGTGGGGACACTTGACTTGGGGACTCTACTCCTCCGCCATCTTGCCCCTCCTCCCCACGTGTCCTCCTTAATGACTGTCACCCAGTTATCCCATTCCCCCACCCACCTCCCCTTCAGCAACCTCAGTTTGTTTCCCAGAGTTAAGAGTCTCTCAGAGTTTGTCTTCCTCTCTGATTTTGCCCCATTCAGTTCCCCCTCCTTCTCTTATGGTCCCTTCCATTATTTTTTTATATTCCATATATGAGTGAAACCATATTACATATATATAATATATATCATATATAATTATATATTATTATATATTATATCATACTATATCATTATATGATATAATGATTATATCATTATACATTATATCATATATAATTATATATCATATATAATTATCATTTTTTTAAATTTTCAATTGACTTCTTTCACTTATACTCTCCACTTCCATCCACATCAGTGTAAATGGTAAGTATTCATCCTTTGTAATGACTGAGTAGTATTCCATATATGTAATACTATATATATAATTTTTATCCATTTATCTGTTGAAGGACATCTCAGTTCCTTCCACAGTTTGTCTATTGTGGACATTGCTTCTATGAACATTGGGGTGCAGATGCCCCTTTGTTTCACTACATCTGTATCTTTGGCTTAAATACCCAGTGGTGCAATTGCTGGGTCATAAGGTAACTGTATTTTTAACTTCTTGAGGAACCTCCATAATGTTTTCCAAAGTGGCTATACCAGCTTGCGTTCTCAGAGTAAGAGGGTTCCCCTTTCTCCACATCCTTGCTAACATTTGCTGTTTCCTCTCTTGTTAAATTCAGTCATTTGACTGGTGTAAAGTGGTATCTCATTGTGGTTTTGATTTGTATTTCCCTGATGACAAATGATATGGAGTATTTTTTCATGTGCCTATTGGCCATTTGTATGTCTTCTTTGGAGAAATGTCTGTTCATGTCTTCTGCTCATTTCTTGACTGGATCGTTTGTTTTTTAGGTGTTGAATTTGAGAAGTTCTTTATAGATATTGGATAATAGCCCTTTATCTAATATATCATTTGCAATTAACTTCTCCCATTCCATGGATTGCCTTTTAATTTTGTTGACTGTTTCCTTAGCTGTGCAAAAGCTTTTGATCTTGATGAAGTCCCAATAGTTCATTTTTGCTTTTGTTTCCTTTGTCTTTGAAGACATATCTAACAAGAAGTTGCTGTAGTCGAGGTCAAAGAGGTTGCTCCCTATGTTCTCTTCTAGGATTTTTATGAATTCCTGGCTCACATCTAGGTCTTTCATCCATTTTGAGTTTATCTTTGTGTATGGTGTAAGAGAATGGTATAGTTTCATTCTTCTCATGTGCCTGTCCAATTTTCCCAACACCGTTTATTGAAGAGACTGCCTTTTTTTCCTTTGGACATTCCTTTCTGCTTTGTCAAAGATTAGCTGATCATGGAGATGAAAGTCCATTTGTGGGTTCTCTATTCTGTTCCATTCATCTATGTATCTGTTTTGTGCCAGTATCATGCTGTCTTGATGTTCACAGCTTTGTAATATAGCTTGAAATCAGGCATTGTGATGCCCCCAGTTTTGGTTTTCTTTTTCAACATTCCTCTGGCTATTCAGGGTCTTTTCTGGTTCCGTATACATTTTAGGATTATTTGTTCCAGCTCTGTGAAAAATGTCAGTGGTATTTTGATAGGGACTGCATTAAATATGTAGAATGTACTGGGTAGCATAGACATTTTCACAATATTTATTCTTCCAATCCATGAATATGGAATGTTTATCAATCTCTTTGTGTCTTCCTCAATTTCTTTCATAAGTGTTCTGTAGTTTTAGAGTACCAATTCTTTGCCTCTTTGGTTAGGTTATCTATCATAGTTATCTTATGGTTATTGGCTATAGTTATCTTATGGTTTTTGGTACAGTTGTAATTGGGATCAATTCCTTAATTTCTCTTTCATCTCTCTCATTGTTAATGTATAGAAATGCAACTGATTTCTGTGCATTGATTTTATATCCTGCCACATTGCTGAATTGCTGCATGAGAACTAGCCATTTTGGGATGGAGTCTTACGGGTTTTCCACATTAAGTATCATGCCAGATGCACTCTGAGAAGGTCACCTTCCAGGGATAGCTTGAACCTAATAATTAGGTGTTGTTTGCTGTGAGGTAGGTTTGGGGGTAAGTGACTCCAATCCTGACTTGTTTTTTCTTTTTTATAACTTTAAGAACGTTGACTTTGTAGAAGAATATACACCAGCTACAGATTAGGAGTAGATATTCCTCAACTTCAGTTTGTCTGACTTTTTTCAGGATTTCTTTCAGGTTTGCCTCCTTGGCAAGCATATCCCAGAGGTGCCACTGAGTTTTTCTCACTGCATCTTATAGGGTGATTTGCCATCATTTCCTCCTGTTCCTGATGATGCTTACTGGTCAACTAGGGCTCTACTGTATGAGTTGCTCTTTCCTTTTGGTAACTCATGAGTGTTTCAGCATTAGTACTCTGAAACTGTGTGAGTGTCCTCATCAATTGTGATCTATCTCTGTATTTATCTCCACCTTTGTGTATTTGTGTTTTTCTATTTTATTCAAGGGGTTATAATCTCTTCTTATTGTTAGTTACCATGATACCCAAATCATGCTTTATGGGTGGGTGAAGCCCCTCAAGCTGGCTCTGCATTCCTTGGACATGTCCCTATCACTGTGTAGCACAACCTGCTCCAAGTTCATCATGTGCTGTCTCAGAGTGGAATCAGCCATGTATCTGAGAAGCTCTAGTTCTTTTTAGTGGAAAATGACATTTATAAGCCAAGATTTGGATACA